CCATCGAGCGCCTGCGTCGAGTCCTCGATGACGACTCGACGAGGTAGGTGCTCGACCCGGACGCAGTACGGAAGAAACGTCGAGCACGCAGAGTGCCGTCCTCGTGACACATCTTGCTTTTTCTTTCGTCTTCGCTCGTAGCAACAACGACACGTAGCTAAAGTTGTCCGATCAAGCAATACGTCGGAATCGACCAGTGTTCGACCAGTTTCATGCAACAGCCACGAGACGTTGCCCCCAACCCTCGATCGTTCGGTTACCCGTAAACGAGCGGAATATCCGATAAATTCGAACTCGGGCTTATCAATGATTCGAAATCGCGGCAAGATGAAATACGTTTCTTAAACGACTCTGAACACTTTCGAACGATTCGAGTGATGTGCCGAACGTTGAACGTACGTTTATATCGTGAACGTTGCAAGATACCGAGCATAGTGATAGACTTAAAGGTAATATAGATGTGTTGCGACGAACCAACTCAAGGATGAACCGTCTCTGTTTTATCAACGACATGCTTCGCGTGGACTCGAGTACGACGACCGATTGACATCTTGCATCGCTACATATTTTCCTACTTTCGTCGTGTCACGTTCTCGTAAAGAACAACAGGTTGAAGTTTCGGAAACGAATCACCGAATATTTAAAAGTATTCGTGATGGACCAAGGCCGTCGGCCGGCAACGTTCAAGGTCTGACAATTGAACGATGCATTTCCGGTAAATCGAAGATTAATTGTCGAAGAACCACTCTTAGCAGAGTAACAGCGAGCTTAGTCGCGTTTAATCGTCGCTCGCATGTGGGTCACAAGTAGCATTCGCCAAAGCTAACGGGATAGAGGGTTTACCGAGTAGAGAGGTAAGCTTGTTAAATTGCGTTACCCTCGAGCGCCTTGCCTTGCCTTGCCTTGCCTTGCCTTGCATCTATTCCCTCTTCTTTTAACGTTTTTCGGCAGGGTTCTTCGAGATTCAGTATGGGTCGAAGTAACCGAAAACTTAGCGAACGCGTGCATCTAATTCGTATCTTATCTTCCGATTCCGCGACAACGCGAACGATCGCGTGATCGCGGAATTAAAACATCGACCGCGATGTATAAATAATGCACCGAAAAAAAGATATTTATCAATTATCGGATCGATTATGGTTCGGATCACGTGGTACTAGCAATTTGCGGTGTCCATAACCTCCTAGGAAATCAATGTTCTTCGCGTAACGATAACCAGCTGTGCTCTATTTTATGTTCTCGGTCATTATATTTCGCGTAACAGAAAATATCGTTTCTTTCTGTGTAAAAGGGACTCGATAAGCAAATATTTTATAACGATCAGAGCTCGCTCGCCTCGCGAGCGGTCCATACAAATATCTGTGCGATAGAAACGTTGTTCGAGGTCCTTTCTATACCTGCCGATATATCTGCATCGCGCCAAAAAATACGGGTGAAGCGGTATCTATCGCCATCGTCTATACCCACGATTTTCTTGTTGACACATTAATTTCATTTATAGAAACCTAACTGAGCCTAATACCTTACTCAGGGACACCGATACCGCGAGTATTAAGCAACAAGGATTATCGCTTCGCATCGCGTTGTATCCATTATTTTCCGTTCTAAGGTTTCATTTTGCGTTATGCGCGTGTTAACTGGTCATTCGTGTACGACGTTGACGCGAGAAATCGAACCGCGATAGACGACCTTTCAGCTACCGATCGTAAATCGACGAACGGGCAGAGAGGAAACTCGATGTCCTGGAAAAAGGAAACGACTCGTTAAATGTATCCATCGTGATTCGGATAAGAATCTATCGGTCTGATTTATGGGATTTAAGCGAAACGTAATTGTACAGAGAATGCGTCGCGGTTACACAGATCTTACCGCAAGTGATACTAGTGACACGGTGGAGGGTTTCTAGTGGATGTCATTGAAAACGCGCGTCGACTGGTAGGGACGTTTTACGTCGCGCCATTCTCCTCGCAACGACGAAACTTTCGAAGAAAACGAAACGATACGCTACACCAAACTTCGAATTTGAAACGCTTTGACGTAAAATTTTCTTTTAGTTCGAATTTTCTTTTCATTTAGTATTTGAATTCTGAACGTTTCGTTCTCGGCTCGGCGAATCAACGAGGCTCCACGGATCGCCGCGAGACGCGGCTAGTTTCTTTCTTCCGCTGGGCCGTGTATCGTCGGTAGAGATGACTTTTAGACGACGTCCGCTTGTCACAGAAAAATGCGGAAGAAAGCCGAGGGACAAAAAAGAAGGAAAAAGATTATCTACGCGGAAAGAAGGTGTACGATGAAAAGTGGTTCTTTGGATGTGCACCCAGTGTAATGAGAGCCCGCCTTGATCCACCACGTAAGAACGCGTTAATGACCTTTGCACGGAACTTGTTACAAAAGATACCGTTATGCTGTATCGTCAAAAGTATCGCGCGTCTTTCTATAAACGGAAACATTTTCGTATGCGTCGAAACGAAAGAATCGTAGATTTCGTTACAAAACATGGGAAAGTCGCGCGCGCGTTCCATAGAATCTTACACTCGATTTTTCCCCTCGCATTATATCCGGCTGAAAGATCGCGTCGAAACAGTCGCGCCGCGAATAATCATGTTCGCCTCCCGAGAGTAAACGAGTCGAAAGTTTCGCGTTAAAAATTTCGCGATCAGAAGCTGACGAAGTAACGACTACGCGAAGTAAGGAAATCCTTGGACAAACAACGAAACAACCGCGAAAGCAGCATCGGGCTGCATAATGGAGAATCGCGAGGAACCCGAGAAGCTTTGACACTCGGAGGAGGAAATTGTCTGAGTACGCTCCCTTTTGGGAAATTGGTAGCGGCAACGCATCCCCTCGTAACTCCAGTTAAACAGACAGAGAAAGCTTTCCGCTTCATCCTCTCCCCTACGATTCCACCCTTCGCCTTTCCAACGAAAAGGGGCACGAATCGACGGATGAAAATCTAGTCGAATCTTTGCGCTCGTATCCGCGGCGTATCGAAGCTGGAAAAAATGAAATTGCCACCACCGCCGTCACGCGGTTCTTCTCGGTCGATAACGCAACGGTTTCCGTCGGGGGCTGAAAGAAGAAAACGCTTGATCGTCGAGTACTCGAGAGTCAGACGAGCGAACGAATATTGCTACGGTAAAACAATACTCGAGAAAGGAAGGGGGGTTCGGGAAATATGCCCGGTCGAAATTCCTCGATTTTCTTCGATCGGACAAAAGGTACTCGTACGTCATTCGTTGGGCCATCTAAACCCCTATCGACGCAATAATCTGCTAATAATGCTGCGTAATTATACAATTACGAAGGAACGTGATATTTTTCGAGGAAACGTTACGCAAAGAGACTGTAAGCGCCCGAACAGTACTCTCCATCTAGGATGAAAACTTTTACGCGTTCTCGTCGCTTTTGTTAAGATTCGATGTACGCGAACCTACCATCGAAGCAACCTAAGAGATTGAAAGAAACAAACTCGGCTTTAGAACGTCGTTAGAATGATGCACGGGAATACTGACAAAAGTAAGAAGAGCTGATGGAACGTTGACCGTGTTCTTTTCGCGCGTTCTTTCTTTTCGATTCAGGCACTTTTAATATCAACTGAACGGAAGGTGAAACTACGAAAACATTGTTGTCCACGTTGTTCCATTCGTTTTCGCGCGTTACGATGCAACCCGAATTGCACGTACACACTCTCCTAATTTAGCACGTATTGTTCCTGTAATTCGTATTCTGTTTCTCATGCGTTAAACCATGCTGAAACTTACCAAACGAGAGCACTTGTTTAGAAACTTGCGCGTGTATTTAAACGCAACGTCATAGGGGACTTGGATTTCCATACATTTGAATTAGTCCGCCCACTACGAGGGCCACGTTCTCTCCCTAATTTCTTTAGCAAGTCGAAGCTGTTGACGTTGATTTGGTTCGTTTGTCGATGTTGTTTGGTCTTGGAATTTTTCAAAATTCAGTTAATGGTCGATTAAGCAATTACGATTTCAGCGTTAAACGGAGCAGTGTATCGTTTAGAGTCGTTTATAAGCGTAACCTAGTTACATTTACTTTCGAGCAGCGAGGAACGAAAAGCGAACATCGTAATTTAAAATGTCAATTACAAACTTTTCCAGCTTGGAAACTCTACCACGGCACGCGCGTACGAGCTAAATTAATGGCCATTACGAAAAAAATCAAAATGAATTTAGAAATTCCAAGTGTGGCTATCGTATTTTCCACAAAAATTCTGCCTCCTACACGAAATTTTATTCGCGTGATTCTCGCGTCGCGCTACTTTTTTACCGAATTCCCAAGAATTTCTCTACTCTTACGTTTCATGTTTTATTTACGAATCTTCTTATGGCAATGCACAGCTAGAACATGCACGAACCTACTATTTTCTACCGTTTCTTTCGCAAATTTCTTTACGAATACAACGAACCACGAGGGATCCCATTTGTATCGACGCGTCTACTGGTTCTACCGGAGCGTATTGCTTCGCAACCGTATTTGCGTACTCGTGTTTGGGATACGCGAGGGTGCATTCGTTTACCGGAAACTCGATTTCGGAGGTTCGTCGATTCAATTGCGACGCATGTGGTCGCTAATAAGTTTAAAAGCAGCGTACACGGCACTTAAAGATATCGTTTTGTCACTCTGTTTCTCTGTACCGTTATATCGAGAAGAAAAGTGAATTATGAACGATATAATTCATCTTTCTTTCTGACTCGAAGACTCGCGCGGTAGAGAAACAATAAATTCAATTAACCGCTATAATTTCCAAAACGCGCGATCAAAATGACCTATGGCTTTCTACGTCAGCGAATACTACGGATGAATAAATTTCGATAGTTTAACGTTTAAAGCGGGAAAATGTCGAAGGTTGTTTGTTGGAAGTAAAGACAAGTAGGCCGATCAATTAAGAGTTCTAGTCGGTAAATGTTTAACCCTACGTTACACCCTCTGCGGTGAAAAATGGGGATCCTTACCGTTAGTCGAATGTTCGTCGGTAAACGATAAACGAACAAACAGGCGGTATCGTGAACGGCACGAAACAGAGACAGCGGACCTTTATTTGCTGGTCGTTTCGTGATCGATCGGACAACGGTAGTAAAATAACGTTACTTTTATCCAACGAAGTCTTTTCGAGATTTAAAGATACGTTCAAGCGCCTATCGAATCGCAGTTTAATATTTGATGCTATTGAACGAATTAAATTGGAATGGTCGTTAGAACTGGAACACTCTAGTCGGTAGCCGTTTCTTCGTACCGAACTAATTCGAGGATTCACTAATACAGGCAGAAAATGTGGAGCTCGGTAACCGCGGCTGGCACTGAAAACGGGCCCGCACCACCTTCCAGAAGCAAGCACAGTGCTACTTTACTCGCCGGGCACGTGTACCTACTAGGAGGACGAAACGGCAATCTTCCCCTCAAGGATCTCTGGCGGTACAGTCTGGGTAAGTGATAATTGTCGTTGCTTTTAATTTCATCTCATCGGAGCACGCGCACGCGTAGCCACGACGCAAGAGTAACGCGTCGACTGGATTAGGGAAAACGATGGATAGGGAAGGCGGGCGAAAATCGCGAACAGGGAAAATCCGTGTAGTTGGAAGGCGATGCTGTATGTATAAAACACGATGTCTGAGTACCCCGAGCTACACGATACACGATCAACATCTCTGACCGACGCACCCCATATCGTCTCGCTTCGCGAACGAGGGTGCGCGACGGAATTTAAACGGGGTTCAGTCTGATCAATAATACGCCATTATTAAAGCCCACCTATATCAACTAAATCCACAGACGATACTCCACAATTACGTACGTTTCCACGAAGATCAGACGTGACCGAACGAATTGCACCCTTTCGCGATAATCAGCGGTTTATACGAACACGTCAGCCAACTTGTTAACGAGTTGTACATTTATAACTACGTCGTCGCTTTTTATCGCCATTCGGGAGAAAAAAATTCGCGCGGGAAGCCACCTCGTAGAGAGCAAAATAAATCTATCCGCTAGAGGATTATTCGGTTCAAATGGCTGACCACTTTGAACTCGGCCAAGTTTCGATCGTCTAACTGGCAGCGTTTTAAACGTATTCCCTGTAGGCTCGATCGTTCAATGGCGGAATAATTTAACCTATAGCTAGAGAATTCGAAATTCGCAGAAACGTTCGTTTCGACCATCTAGATTTTTTATTTAGACGCGTTTGATTCGACGCTTCGCGAGAAAATATAGCGCGTACGTAATTACGATAGAATCGATGTTGGTGGACCGATGGGCCGCGGAAGTCTCTATTAATCAGCGGGGATTGTTCGACCGCGTGTTCGGGTGAATATTAAAGCAGCGTCGAAAGGGTTGAAAACGTGGCGGAGGTTCTCTCCTGGGGCAAATACTGTCCAGGGACCCCATGGTATATTTTTAAAAGCCTACCACTGTCGATACTTGAACTTGCAAAAATATTATGATAACTCAAAGAATCACGAGTGTACTTCATCTTTGAACGTTTTTGTTTCACCCTTCTCTTCGACCGGTACTGATTTCGAGGGGTTCCCGGTGCTTATGACCTATCAAGCTAAATGGATCCCTATCGCGACACTAAAAATTTTCTTCTTAAAACTTCTGCGATGAAACGCGTTTTCAGGCTTCGAAGCAAATCACGAAGGTTGGAATCGATTGATCGCGAATACAAGCTGCTGCTGCGCTATCGATGAAGACGGTATCGGTCGCGATAGAGATCCGAAGCGACGAACAATCGTTCGCCAGTCACGTTTGTTCGCTTTTTTCGTTCGTAAAGCTTCGGTAATTTTAGTTCGGAAGCAGCACTTTTAAACAAAAGAGTGCATTGCTTCGTAGCCAGCTAGATACGACACGTGTACGTAATCAATGTCGGGCATCTCTAGTGGTGATCTACGAGAGTTGCAAGTACTTTAGCCAGAGCCATTATGTCTCTTACGTAAATTTCGTAGGCTTTGTTCTTGAGCACGTTCCAGTACGAAACTATCACCCGGCTACTTAATCTGTACGAAATATGGATTATCCCTCGGCGCGCCAGGAAATTACATTTCAAAATCTCGCACGATATTTACAAACGCGACGATACCGTTCAAAAAAATCTCGTTCCTTCTTTCTCTTTCGTTCCTACAATATACATACATATAACTTCATGCCGCGCCGACTTTCTTCGCTTTAATTTTTCTGAACAGATTAGGGGAGCATCCCTTTCCTTTTTTTCGTAAAACTTCCCGAGGGTAAAGACCGCCCTTGTCTTCCTAAGCCCTTGCAATAAAGAACTTCAACGTTCCCTTCGTCGAAACATTAACTTACCGCTAAAACAATTTAGATTTATTTAATCTTTCCTTTTATATTTTCGTGTAAAAGTCAGGAATCTATTTATCAAATTCTATCGGAGCTGTGATATTATTTTCGGCGAAATGTAAACAATTTTTCTTATCCTTTGTTCTCTTTCAACAGACAGTATTAAGACTCGATACCATTATCCGTCGAACGTCTCGTCATTTTCTGTACCTTAGTCACTGCTTAGCGAGTATTCTAACTCACCCTCTTATATTCTTCGTTCTCCCTCTGCTTCCAAGAAACCTTAATACAGCGGGGGAGGGGATTTATTACGAAACAGTAAATTGTATGGGCGGGTGATTTAACGCGTTGAAAAAAACTTCCGCGGCATCCATGAACTCGCGATCGTTTAAATTTTGCCGAAAATTCGTTCGGCACGACACGACGCCGATCAACGTTCAAGTTCGCGAACATGTTTCTAACGTGTTTGCGGTATTCCTCGACGTTGCGAAAACTGGGCCAATTAAATGCGCGTCGCCGCAGTGAAAATAGGCAATTAAAAATCGCAACAACCGCATGCAGTAAATTAAGCGTTCTATGCGTACACGCGATGTAGATAAGACCAGCCCCCCTTTGTTCATTTTGATATTTCCTTATTTTTCTTTTTTTGTCTGCGGTTTTTTCCGCCGCAGCTACATTCTCCCCTCGCGTAAACGCAGAAAAGCGAGGTTGCATAAATCTTGTTTATCCTAGCCGATGCAAAGAGAGACTGGAATATGAAAACGTTTGGAATAACGAGCCGACGCGTTAACCCCTTCTTTATTTTTCTTTACAGCCGAAAGCAAATGGGAGGAATTGCATCCAGGGGGAGAAAGACCGCCAGCACTTCAGGAACACAGCGCGGTAGCTTACAAGGATTGCCTTTACGTTTTCGGGGGTGAACTCGGCTTTTCCGCGGGCACGGAAACTCCGCTTTGGGTCTACAATGTCAAGGTAACGTATCACCCTAATCTAACCTACGTTGCACTCTTTCGATAAATTATACTCGTATTTTTTACGCGAGACAAAACGCAATATTTTAATTCGCGATATTCCCTTCTGGAAAGCGCTTCGCATCCGTTTAATTTTCATTTATGGTATAATTTGTTGCGCGCGTAAATTCGTTATCAAGATTTCGTTCCGTCGAAGGTTAGTTTCATCGAAATTTACATGATTCGATCTACCGAAGCCACGATAGCCCGTAGGCGTTTACTCTCGCCACGTTTCTGGAATCACAACGAGGGGTCACAGCACCCTCGATTTAGCCGACCAGACGAAACTACGTATCGGTCTTGATTGACAATATCTTGCTTCGACGCTTTTCCTTTCTCGTTCGTTAATCGAACGTACGAGTAATTCGATATAGTAGTATATGTATACACGCGGGTATAATGATATTAACGCGATAATTTTAAATAGAAAACAGTGAATACGTACTTCTCGTTCGCCTTTTCGATGTCGCGCTTATTATCTTCCCCAAGGAGTCCTTAGGAGTGTTCACGGAGAATAACGGTAGAACAGAATCGTTCGATGCGGTCGTCTCATAGTCGTCCTTCGTTGCGTGTCACCGATCGCTGAATTCAACCCTCTTCTGTTCTTCGGAGATGGATAGGATGTTCTCGTGTAAAACTGGTTGTACCCGATGACGTTCCTATTGATTTAGCGGTTTCCCGAGGGTGCGATTCTTTCGCCCCTGTCTCTTCTTCTTCATCGGCGACCCCGTGTACCGTGTACTCCCTTGCAGAACGAGCAAGATCATTAAGAGTTTCCCTTGCAAGATGCGATACCGAACTACGAGATCGTTATTAAGAAACACGCGAAGGGTTGACGTTCAACCGCTTCCCAAATCCCGAACGGACATTGTCTCGCAAATCATACGAGTCAACCAGATGATCGCATTATCAAAATCGTGTACGCGTCTACGTATTCCCGGTATCGCGTCATTTCCGTGATGGCTAATGATTAACGCGAGATTCATTTGTCACTGTCAGAGATCAGCTATCGAACGCGTACACTTTCCGTCGAATGTGACGCGTTTATACCAGTTTCCCTTAGTCGATGATTCGCTGAAATTGTCACGATATCTACCGGAACACGAATGCACGTGGACCGAAACTGCGAATAGAATGCTCCTTTATACGATAACGTCTCATCTTTTACTGTCGCATATGCTGTTCGGTGTCCGTTCAAGAGTAACGTTTCTTAAATAATGTAGAGGGTAGCCAGCTGTTGTCAACACCATTTTCTTCTGTTTCGTACCCTCGAAACCGAGTAGCGCTTATCCTCTCGAGGGCTCTTCTTCCGAATCTGTTCGCCATTAAAAATTGATAAACCGAAACACGCACGAAACACGGTATCAATTTTCGCGTCAACGATTCACCACCAATCTTTCTACCGACATATACACATAACACGCGAACGAGAAAAGTATTCTTTACAACTTGCGCTGGTTAGGTTAGGTTAAAAGATTATAACGAGAAGGGTTGCAAGGGTTTAAATTTTGTTCCTTCGTCGTGTCGCTATGGTTACCTTAGGTACGCTTGTTTTTATTCCCTGAACCATGTCGGAGACTAGGGATATTACCCCGTTGCTTCTCTCTTCGTTGTGTATTATTGAAATCCGCGTTAGAAATGCATCCAGCAAACCCGATTGGTTAAACCAGAGGGGTTGTTTCGAGATACGTTCCCTTTCTACTGTGTCGTCTTCGTTTCCTGCCTCGTTAAAATTTTCTGTTCGCTTCGTCTTCGGCGAAATTTAAAAATCGGAAAACCAAATCTAAAGGGAAATATGTTTTCCACCAAATTCGAAGATAAGGGTCAATGTTTTCAAGACCAGAAACGTCCGTATGTTTGACGATAACCGTTTTCTTGCTAATTTTACAACGTTTTAACGTCGATGGCGAATTTAGCTAGTACTCTACCCTTTTGCGTCCCCCTCGTGTCGTAATACGGGGTAGACGCAAGTGGCTGTACAGACCTATCAACTTTAGGCACGTACTTCGAGTTACGTAATTACTTTCAGCACCCCTGGTGTACGGCTTATATACTTTTCTTCCATCTTTTCTGCTTTGTATGTACGATCGCGAACTCGTGGATAAGGCAACGTATTCTCGTTTTGCTTCTTACCAGTATGACTGGCTAAAACGAAAGACGTACGATTGCCACCATGCATAGAAAGAATTATCAATGTCCATTCTACTCGAGGATTTCGCTTCGTGCACTGCTCGTACACCGCGAATACAAGTGTTCAGAAACGAAACAGCTATCGATCGCGTTAATAGGAACGAAAATTGCTCCGAAATTTACTTTGACCCGATTGTTATTGGACTACCGATAACGTCGCATGGGATCAAATTGTAAGCACGCGTCGATTGTTTAAAAATAAAATTATGTATATACCTATGGAAGAAGCGGGAAAGCCTTCTTGAACAAATCATGCGTCACACCTGTGCTCTACATTTTTTGCAAGTATTTTATCAAGGTAAACTGTTAAAAATAGATCGATGCGGCTAATAAATCAATAATATTCCATATAATTTTTTTTACACGTTACAATGTTTCCTCCTCATTCGAGAGGGTGTAATTTACAATCGCGTTAAGCCTCGAGTATTAAACTGGTACCTATTCAAAGGGTAAGAATAAGGGAGTGACAAATTGGAGCTGTTCCGTACCTTTTGTCGCGAACAACCCCAGTCATATTCGGCATTCAGAAAACTTCGGTCTAGCTGGGATTAGAGAATCTTCGAGCCTATTGTTACCTATCCCCAAAGGTTAATCACCATAAAAGTATTCGATGAGTATTTCTTTTTACAATAGCGCAGATCGATGAACATATACCTAAGGTAAATTATGGTTAATCGACTTTGCTTGTATTTAGACAAACACGTGGAGAAAAGTAAGAGCACAGCGGGGTTGTGCAGTTCCTAGAGGGCGGAGAGGCCATACCGCCTTGGTTCATCGTGGTCAAATGCTCATTTACGGTGGTTATCAAGATTTACGCGGCAGCTCTCCCGAACTATGGGCGTTTCACTTCGGTACAGACAATCAAATGATTACTCTCATTTCAAACGCGTGCACGTAAAAATATAACGAACCGACTGATCGTTTAGAAACGGAATCGTGGCATTTGCTTTCGTCCAGCGAAAGTGGTCCAGCAGCGAGACACAAACATTCCGCTGTTTTACACGGAGATGCGATGTACATTTACGGTGGGATGACCGATCTGCAAGAAAGAAGCGACTGCTGGCGATGGGACGTCAACACAGCTTCTTGGTGTCTGCTGAAGAATAAACCAGGTCCAGGACCTCTTCACGGACACGCGGCGTGTAGACTTCCCAGTTGTATGCTAATTTTCGGCGGAGAAAGCGGTGGTTTAGCTACGAACGAACTCTGGAGGTTTCATTTCGGTAACCGAACAAACTCATCGACGAACACCGCTAGGCGTAACCGCAACGATATGACTTCAAGTTTTTTAACAGGTACAGAAACGTGGGAGAAATTATCGGTGCCAGGTCCTAAACCGCAACCAAGGGCAGAGAGCGTTGCTCTAGCTGTTTCCGAATTGCTAATTCGCGGGACCAACATTGACAATTCGAAACCGAAGCCAAGAAATCAAAGAACGAGACTTTGTAACAGTAGAATATCGCCGAACGAAGCACCAGCTAGACCAAGTTTTCTCAAGGAAATTTCGAAATTGTCACAAATCAATCTGTCGCGATTGAGTCATCCGACCAAATGTAGTTATTCCGTTCTGAGTGGTCAAGATGACAACGAAGAAAGTCCTCAAGAGGTACGTCGTCTTATGTATATGTTGTGTACGACACAGAAAATAACCATTTCCTTCAAATGCACGCGTACACAAGTTTAAATGCGCACGAAACGCATGTGACAATTGAGCCTGCCCGCAGGCGAATTCGTATTATCCTTTTCAGCAAGTGGACACCGAAGTGGTGGAGCCATCTACGGGGATGGTAAAATCTCGAAGCGCCAACACGTTGGCGCGTCGACGACAAAAGCCAGCGGAAACCACGGTCAAGTCATCGGACGTTAACAGCACCGACACAGCGACCGGTACATCTGGAATGACTAGAGATCCTATCTCCGTACCAAATTTCCGTGCGCTTACCTTACCCACCCCAGTTTTAACACCCGTGGAAGCAGCCAGACTCGTTTTCGTTGACCCGGACGAAAACAGCGACAACGAAGAACGAAAAGAACCGCCTACATCCAGGCTAATAGAAGTTCAAGAAGAACGACGGTGAGTATGCTTTTTACATTCTGCATCTAATTGTAGCGGTAGCGACACAGGAAAGCTTCTACATAGCTTGAAAACGTAACTGGAGACTTTATACGCGGGTTGCCGACTGTTTCAGAGACTTCGCGGCTGTGCATCAAGCCTGTCAACCCAGTCGGGGAGAAAGTTACAGTTCGCATCTTTACGAAGCGGCGCTTCAAACTCCGAAAACACCAACCACCACGAAAATACCCACGTCCGCGTCGGTTAGATTCGCTGATTTAGAAGAGGGCGAGGAATCGACGTCAGATTATGCGAGTATAGAAGCGAGAAGCCCTGGTGATCCTCTGGCCGACGATGATTGGCCATCCGGACGAAAGTGCAAACAGTATCGTCCCATAGTTACTCCGTCGACGATTCGCGAAGGTCAATTCGGTTTCTGTAATCCAAATTACCTTGGGCTAGACGACACGAAGAATCATCATTCTCATCAGCAACAATCTCAAGATGGGAAGTATGCAAAATTGTTGAATAGCCCGCCGGATAGCGTTTTAGAAGACGAACCGGGCAGATCTGCCTCGCAAACGTTCGCGGAACTGTTGGAGCTTCAAGAAATCAAAAGGGTTCCCAGAGTGCCGCCGAAAAGTTTGCCGCTAGGATCTCCTTCTCGAAGAGCTGTTAGTGCGTCCAGGGCAGAAAGACAAAGAGCTAAAGTTGCCGCGGCTGATATCAATGAATCGGAAACACCGTCGTATGGACCAGCACCGCTCTACGTTTTCGTAGTTGGCGGGAAGGAAAAGGGTCAAGTTACCGTGTTCGCGAGACCTGTTTCCCTCTGGAAACTCCAATTAGCACCACATATTTTTTAAAGGTGTTCAATTCCGTTAACTATCGTTCTATAAGTCACGGTCATAGTCCTGCAATTACATAATAGCTTTATCGCGTTTATTTCGTTTGTTGCTCATTGTTCGTCGAAAACGATAGAATTCTATTCTTTCGTTCTTATAATTGTGCGAGTTAAAGGGCTCGTCGATCCGAGCGATCAGTCACATATTACTTATACAAGCAGTTAACAAATGCGATTCTAGAGTGCCAACGGTTGTTTTATCGTTTCTAGTTATCTTTTATCTATTTAAGCGATACATTTTTTCGTTGTTTTTAGTCTCGAAGACTGAATATTTGTTCGATTAGCCATACGTTTACTTGTCTTATAAATGTGTTTTTTTACTAAAATATACAACTTTATGGTGCAATATCGACTATTGTGATTAGCACATGAAAGTACTCGAGCTTAAAATGTTGGATTCGATGCTCTGATTCTATTCAACAAGACATAAGAACGTCGTGCAACATTAATTCACGGTTCTTATCGAAGTTCCGTTTAATGATCTTTTATGATCACGTTCAACTTTAAAACTATTAACAAGAATAAATTGTATTTTATCGTGGTTCTAAAAACAACGCGTAAGTTTTCATTCTTCGTTTATGTGCGTCTTAATGGCATATCTTTGAATAAATCGTTTCGAGATAACGTGTGCATGTTTATCAATATATGGAGTAATCGTAATTTCAAATTGATTTGTTCGCTTCGCTATTTTAGTTTAACTAACGCAACTGTACACAAAACGTTCGTATTTCTAATATACTTGCAAACGAATACGAGAGTTCATATTGAACCGATTAAGTTAAGATGATTGTCCTGCGATTTAATTTCTAAACGAAGAAACTAATACAGTAAACGTTCGTATCAAGGCGCGAGTCAAGCGAGTCGAACGAATAGTCTTTTATCGATAATCGTTTACGTCCTGTCAGATTCAAGAGGAGTGTACACCGTAGACGACGATCGACGAATCCTTCTGTAGATTTATCGTAAGCGACCCAATTTTTCATACCGTTGTAGATAGAAAAATTTGTAAAGTTGTAAACTACCAAAACTTTTCAACTCGGAAATTAAAGGTAAGTAAGCTGCCGTGCTTACATCGTATAGATACTAGATTAAAAAATACTCGCTCGACTTGCATTTAACTGCCATCGACTGTGAATTCAGTATCCGTAGATTATTAAGTAGAACTTTAATATCCATAAGCTTGATATGACGTTTAAAACGTTTTGAATATTAATGGAGATCAGTGTGTGATTGTGTCCAATTGTGAATAATTAAACTACGATTCGATTATTCTGTCGAAATTAGATTTTTATAAAAACATGATTCTTAATGAAATTTCATTGATAATCGTGCACCATTTAGATTACGATATAAATGAAATTGCGTTCCGAGACAAAAACATTTATCATCGACGTTTTTTCGTTGAGTCTACAAAATCAAGATCGAGAGTCTCCGCTATGACTGGATTTTGGATTTATAAAGATAGCATATTAGTTTCGATAGATATATCGTAAGTGGAAGAAGTGGTAAAGTACGGTGGGAGATTTCTTGTTCATGTAGAGTTTTTACGCCCACAAAGGCCCAATACATGTAATCCATCCATAAGTAGCAAAGGTCAATGCGGCATCTCGTAAGCTGAATATTAACAAATAATTTGTAATAATTTCATGTTAAACTAACAAACGGTACGTTTGTACGAGTATTTATTCGAATAATAGCTTTCATTCGTATAATATTATAAAATTCTAAAGATTTCTTTGTTAAAATGGCAGGTGCAATACGGATAAGGTATACGTACATAAGCAGATATTTATTATTCGTTATTTGGAGTGTCGTATTTAGTAACCTTAAAGGCGTTAATATTCAGCTAGAGGCCGCAAGCACCCAAAAAATCAGTGTTTTCCATTCGTAGCACTAGTCAATTTAACATCTCAGTGTACAAAAGTTAAGGTAAATGTTTCGTAATATCATTCCTTCTCTAGGATCCTTTAGCGTAGTGTTTGTTCATTTTCAGACACATTTAGTGCATACGATAATATCCATGACCCACTTTTGTGTTTCGCGTATGATTACTTCCATAATCTTGACCATTTCGCATAATTAGCAATAGTTAGTTAATTAGTTATACGCATCAAAGACACTGGTATGCCGCCTAAGAATTAAGTTTCAGTCTGTCTAATATTTAGCGTAGCCAAAAGCGCTTGCGACTATATACCATTTTTTGTTCCACTAACAGTAAACTTTAATGATTTCAAACGAGAGTAAAAGCAGAGCAACGCGCTTTTCAAATCATTCATATTTCCGCGTTACGATATTTACGTTTTAAATTGTAGGTATTTAAAACACGATCGGATAGTCAATTATAACCGTGTCATTAAATATATCCGTTGCCAAATAGCCTTTTGAAAATGTTATGCCTCGTTAACAAGATTCAGAGTATAAGCTCGAAGACGTGGGTCAGTTCCCAAAATGATGAAAAAAAATAACAATGTAGCTGATTTGAGTGCCTCTATTTTATGCAAATATATGCATTTCGTATTTTTCTGGACACAAACGATTTTTTGGCTAATATTCGCCATGTTATCTTCTGGCTTATGCTTCTCTTCGGTGTTATCGATGGCTACGTGTCGTACGGACGACACAGGTAAAAATCACATTCGTTCAAAGGCGGTATTATATTTGAATAATGTCGATAGAAAGAGAAATAAATCGCGTCTTGTTCCAGTGAAATTTCATATCACAGAATGCAGTATTTTTTTAACGAGTAAGCCTTTAAAACAGACAACCCACGATCTGATTTTTCTATGTTTAAATATCGGACAATATATGTATATTGTATGTACATGTATTCGTGTATTTCCATATAAGTGAATAATTACGACATTAATGACACTTTATAAATATGGCGACAAAAAAGGTATACGTGTAATTTGTTAGCGAGTATCTCTGAAAAACAACTCGATGGAGAACAATCAAATTTAAATACTTGAATCGTTTAGTTATGATATTTTGCCTCGATACAATAAGAAGCAGTTGTTTTATGATGCTTATATACGGATTCTGAAATACAATTAGCAACAAGCTTCAATTCCTGCCAAAAAAGAATGAAATAGCATTGTTTATTTGTCCCTTTATCTGTTTTTCTTACAAATAATATAGAATGTCTATTATCAACCGACCAATCATTATCGTAGAATATTTACCATAAGCAACAAAAATGTCCCTAGTATTTGCCGCGTAAATTCCGTTATGACAGTTATGGCGTTGACGAAAGAAGTTAGCAGAATGTAAATATTCTTCTGTGAAAATTTAATAATTTCATTGTAACTAATTATCAGAGTTCGTGTATTCCTTTTCTACTTATAAGTAAACATGAGTCAAGATAATTGTTCAGTGATATGTTCGGTAACAATGGAATGGATCGACTCGCGAGGTTCGATCCTGAAGAAAGTAAATCATCGAACTGCGAGTTTGCGTTTAATTCGAAACAATCCTCGTGAAATATTTATCGAAATAGTTCCAGAAAAATCGAATCTCACGACGAAACTTTTATTAAAATCTGTATATGTTTTCAACAAATTCATGAACGAAGGAAAAGCTTCTATAAAATTCAACGAGGAAAACTGTACGTTATTTCTGTCGAATGCACCAACGGTTCAATTGATTAATTTCCTAAAGACAATATATGTAAAGATCACAGGTCAGTCGCCAGACGTGAAAAAAAATCCATTGAAGGAAAGATTTGCTAATAAACAGTCGAATACTTATCAAGATGTTAGTCCCATCACGAGTACTGACGTGAAAAAGATAAAAGCAAAAATTTCTAACAAGCGAAAACACTCGGATACAGACGGGTCTAAACTTGCATGCGCGAAGAAACTTTACGACAATTCAACCGAACAATTAACGGAGGAACAACAGAGAATTTTAGATGCAGTGCTTAGCGGGAAAAATGTATTTTTTACCGGAGGCGCAGGTACCGGAAAATCGTTTTTATTGAAGAAGATAATCGGGGCTCTTCCACCTGATGTTACCATGGCTACAGCAAGTACTGGCGTAGCAGCATGTCATATAGGTGGAATAACTTTACATCAATTTGCTGGAATCGGATTGGGAACAGCAAATTTAGATAGATGCTACCAAATGGCTTCACGCAATTCTGCTACTATGTGGAGAAAAACAAAATACTTAATAATGGATGAAATTTCTATGATAGACGCAGATTACTTTGATAAAATTGAAGCTGTTGCCAGACATCTTCGTAAAAATGAAAGACCATTTGGTGGAATTCAATTGATTTTGTGCGGAGACTTTTTTCAATTACCTCCTATTTCGACAAAAGACAGAAAAGCAAAATTTTGTTTTCAAAGTAACGTGTGGGACAAATGTGTCCACCTTAATTTTGAATTACGAACTGTTCATAGGCAAAAAGATCCGGAATTTGTGAGCATCTTAAATAATATCAGAATCGGTAGAATTACAGATAAGATAACGGAAACTCTTAAAGCAACAGCTAAACAAAAGATAGAGGATAATGGAATTTTAGCAACGACCCTTTGTTCTCACGTGAACGAAGCAGAGGAAATTAATGAATTTCAACTGAACGAGTTAAAAGGTGAATCCAAAGTTTACATAGCTCAAGACTCTGATCAATCAATGACAACAACATTAAATAAACAACTAACTGTTCCCGATAAATTAGTACTCAAAATAGGTGCACAAGTGATGCTATTAAAAAACATAAATGTTTCTAATGGTTTAGTAAATGGAGCAAGAGGCGTAGTCCTCGAGTTCGTAGATAATATGCCCTTAGTTCAGTTTAAATCGAGTATCCAATATCGTGCAAAAATAGAAAAATGGAGTTTAAAAACAAATGCGGGTAGCGTAATCGTTAGAAAACAAATTCCATTGAAATTAGCATGGGCTTTTTCCATTCATAAAAGTCAGGGTCTAACTTTGGATTGCGTAGAAATGTGCCTTGCAAGAGTGTTTAATGCTGGGCAATCTTATGTAGCACTTTCTAGGGCACAAAGTTTACAATCTTTAAGAGTTTTGGACTTTGAAAGTCAACAAGTATGGGCTCATCCTGATGTCCTTGTGTTTTATAAGAAATTTAGACGAAATTTGCAAGAAATGGAAATGATACCTTTAGCAAAAAAGCAAAAAACATAATTGAAATATATTCTTTATGCGTAAAAAAATATTTTAATATTAAAAAGAAAACATTAAATTATATGTAGTATTATTAAACTATATATATATATACATATACATGTAGTATTAAATAAATGTAAAATAATTTTTTATATGTTCTAATAGAATAAAGTATTCTTCGACTATATGAAAATTTTCTCGTAGAAACACACAAATACAGGTCACTTTTATCCGTCGTTAGTTTAATGGTAATAATTTAGTGGTTTCAGGAATTATCAAGTATCGACATTAAACGATTAAAGTACTTGGTAGTTTTCTTGATACTTTATTAAAAAAAGTAAAAGTTCCAGTTACTAAATTTCGTCACGTATAATTATCATAACAAAGCATAGATGTATTTATACTTTTACAAATATTACAAAGCCACACACTAAATATCTTCGCGTGTGTCATTAATCATCAACAGTTATTTCTATCGGCGGTATGTAACGCCACGTGTGTCCAGCATTTATTAATTCTGAACAAAGTACTGGCGTATTCGGTGCAGACTCCTTACTGCTACATCGAATATCAATTTTGTATTGTCCTGCTGTAAAGAATACTACCCGGCACTCATGGTAAACTCTCCCGTATTCCTGTAACTAAAAATCCATATTTATGCCGACAATCTAAACTGTTTATTGCGGTATTTTTGTCGCTAAAGTAACTCACTGCTGGAAGCATAACTTTATTCGCACCAGCGATGGATAGTCTCGTCTCTAACTGATAATTGTTTACACCGTTATGATGATCTTGATAAAAATTGATAGATAACGCAAGATCGCTCAAAGGATGCTCTAATGCATTACATATTCCTATGCCGAGGCTAACGCATTCGCCTAAAGTACAAGTGAGTTCATCTTGAGCTTTCACGGTTGCGTCGTTTATTTTTATCTCTGTAAACGGTATGCGCTAATTATTAAACGAATAAAATAAATTAAGGCAAAATGATGACCACTTAAAACGTACCCCACTGTAAAGGACTCATTCTAACAAGATCTAACATATCTTGAGTGAGGGTAATACCCGAAAGGGTCGCTTTGCCGACCGACTCTGTACCTAACAATTGCCAGCGTAAATCAACTAACGAAGCAATGTGTTCAGAACAGACTTTCTGAAGTTCTCCGATATCACCAGCCCCGTTTAACTACCAATAAAATACGAACAGGAATGTTTACAAACTCGTCCTATTAAGTGCATAAAATTCTTCATTACCATAGATAATTTACTAAGTGGACATCTATCCACCGGCACAGGGATTCTACACGGCTCTTTACCCTCCATGTATATACATTTAGTTTGTGTATAATGCAATTCCATTTCATGATTGGTCATATTCGTTAAATCTAGTACAAGATAAAATTGTGATGGCCTAGGAAGAAACATAAACTGTATGTATTTATCTGAATTGTGATCGCTGTGATCATTCTAACCAATGTATAGAGATTATTCTATTTGTTGCTTACGTTTCTGCTGGAAGTACGTCCCAATTTGTAATTTGTACGCTAGGTAACATTTCGATGGTAACAAAGACCGACGATATACGACAGTAACCCGCTGTTAAACCTGCGCCACCCGAGTACTTTATTTTTAATTGACCTTCGATAACATTTGACGAGTGTAGAGGAACAGCAAGTTTCGATAAACGCGAACTTGCCAAGGAAGAATGTCCGGAATGAGAACTTAAGCCAGATCTAAATGAGGAAGTTAATTCCGATTGCCGTTTCGTATGCGACGGAGAACTTAATCTCGAAGGTAATGAACTGTGCCCTGAATGAGACATTAAACTGCTCGGTTGACTAAGATATGTACTGCTATTAATATCTAAAAAAAAACACGAAACGATCGATTAAAACTGAAACTTTTTAACGAACAAACATAAAAAACATCATTGACGACATTACCATTTCTAGTCGTGGGTGCTATAAAATCTGTGGCCGCATACAAATATAAAGTAAGACTGGCACTAGTTCCAGGTTGCAATGGTAATTGTGTGATTAAGTTTTCATCGCTCCATTTAAATATCCTGTTTTCGGTTATCGTATCCAATGTAGATTGTACAGATACTTCAATCGTTTCAATTGGAATTTGTCCACTATTTGTAATAGTTACGGTGCACTCGGCACTACGACATAACAGCGAAGATTATTATACTTGAACTGACAACATTTAAGCGATGCTAGAATACTGTGAAATCTACCTTTCACCGCCATACAATGATACACTTGCACTTGTTACTATATTATCTCCAGAGCTAAAGCTTGCAGTTTGAGGTAAACTTGTAGCCACTTCTATTCTTGGCAATGCTGGAACCACCTCAACGGTATATTGAGAATGAACCATTCCCTCCATGTATCTTAATCTGCAATTAGATTTCACTCCTAGCGTATGCGTACTAAAACCAAGAATTTCTAAATCTCCAACTTCTTTAGGTCTGCCTGCTAAGGTCACTGCGATAGGTCCTGATTCAGCAGGAAGCGTGATACTTTCGGGAATTGATTCGAACACTACCCCGTTTGTAAGAAGTCTCATGTTAGAAACGTGAAGTTCAAATGGTAAAGGATTAATAAGTTGCATCGACACTTCACAAATGTCACCCTCTACCCATAAATAATCTGTAACCATTTACATCTTCTTTTTATAACAAACACGTACCTAAACCTGTAAACAATATCTAAATCGATACGTAAACGCACCAACTTTGCTTTTAGATATATTTTTTCTTTCTAAAGATCCGAAGTTAATTGGAGTAAATAGAAAGGGACCATGATCTTCTTTGACCCTTTCGATTTTTTGAGGCTGAAGATGGGGTTGCATGTTTTTTAAAACGAACGATTTTGTTTTCGGAAGATTGGTTAAATTTGCAGGCGGTATAACTGTGCCAGAATCTAAAACCTGGCAAAGGAAAAATTTTATTCTTCTCAATGGTAAAAGTATCTATATGCATCTTATAAAATTTCGATAAAACTTACAAGAGGCACGGGAGCACCCTCGCATTGTTGGGATACACTTTGAAGCTGCAAAGCTGTTTCTTTGCGCTCGTTTAGAGTCAAATAATTGTACATCGTTTGCAGTAAAAATGTCATATGCCTTGTTGCTAGTGCCGGATTACCCATACGATTAGCAGCAGCAACAAGATCATTTATTACTTGAATTTGAATAACTGGCCAACCTCGATGATTTTCTGTGTAAATAAATTATTTTACATTCTGTTACTTTACAACACACAAATGCGATATACATTCACATTAAAAATTACCAGGGGACATATCAGCAGGATCTAAAGATAACTTAAATCCAGAAGTGGCTTGTAGCATTAAATTATAACATTGCTGCCAATCTGGATTGGGATTATTTTGAGACACATGCCTTGTTGCGGCTAATCTTAAGCAAAAGGATGCTTTTCTTACAAAACCAAAGCTCGTAAACAAATCGGACAATGTAGTAAATCTATCGATCTAAAATTATGGACACATTTAGTTACATTATTCTTAACGAATTGATAATATTTTCAATTAAATTACATACTTTTTCTTGTTCGCTTAATGGTAAGTTTATAAGTATAACATTATTTAAATACGAAGCAGCTTGCAAAGTACAATTTTGTTCTATCGATATTCTTGTTGCTTTGAAGCTGGCTTCTGTTTCAATTATACCAGCATATTGATATTTGCTATAATGAACTATTGCCTCACGATATTTCTTTGATATTTCCTCAGGTAGCAAAATATGTGGCATACTATTTTTTACAGTGTCTATAGCTGGTGGCGATGGTAAAGCACCAACAGCTTGTGAACCCCTCCTAAATAACATGAACTATTATTGATTGTTTGCTACAAATTTATCATTTCAAATTCTATGATATCATTGTATATTCAAATTGAAAGGGTAATTTATACATACCTTTGCTTACCTGGACTTCCTTCTTGAAGAGAAGAATTTCTTTGCAATGGAAGACTTCTACACATATTTGGATATAATACTAAAGCAGAAGCAGCGCATAAACCTTCAAATGCTGCACCTAACCACAGCCAGTCATTCACAGCTTGGAGTACACTGGCTGCAGAGTTATAATTACTTAAAGCATCTGCTGGGAGTCCAGCTTGAAGACATAAATCACCTAAATGCTTTGTCATTCGACCCACGCATCTTTTTCTATTATTCCTAGATTCCAGATCTAGTCCTATAAAATCTTTCTTTTCAAAAGGTGCCAATAAAAGAGAAACTCTGTCTATTTTTTCTCTTGACCGCTCTAATCTTTTGGATTCTAAAATCCAAAATAAAGAATTCAGACATTCTGTAATATGAACTTCAAGATCAGGACAAATTTCATCAATATAAAACATAGCTCGAGTTTTGAAATTGGAAGGTGTGCTGAATGATGCTGGTGGTTCATGAACATTATTCGATTCCGATGGCCCGAACAATATAGCACGTGAATCGTACAATGTTGCGGTATACTTTACTTTTAGACTTTCATGCACTCTACACAACTCATTTAGTTCTGCTTGATTGTCATATTTCCCAAACGTAATTAAGCCCAGTAATTTTCTATGGGTTTGGAAATCTCCCCAATCATTGTTTTCAACAGGGTGCTCTTTGACGAATCTAGCAAGTATTTCACGTGTTCCACCCGAAGAATCGGTCACACTAAATCTACTACCCGCTTTAATTATACGCTCACATAACCTGGTAACAGTTTTCTGTTTGATTTGTGTACCAATGGGTCTCAAAAGTAAAAGTAATGCAGCATGATCGTGAGCGGTTTGCTCGTAATCAGGATGAGACATCTTGTTGTCGGGTACTGGACTCGACAAAATAACGCTAATAGCCGAGCGCATTTATGTCAATCTCCACCTAATAGTACCTCACAGTATCTAGGCTCACATAAATGATAATCTTTTTTGCCACGCTATAATAAGTAAGTATATAATAAATCTATAATGCAATAATTAAATCTTATTTTCATTATTCTACTGTATAATATTACACTTCACTTTGATAAATCTCATCCCGTCGAAGCGGTAGCAATGACAAATGGGAGAAAGATCGTCATACGTAAAACAGATCAAACACGCGTGCGCAACCGGAAATTTGATAGTAATAAATAATCGCCAGTATTTTATGGAGAGCGTTTAAAATACTATGTACTACATTCATAAGTAAAAATTAATACTGATATATTTTAAAGTACATAAAATTATATTCGACAATACTTTTGTATACAATATTTTATTATTATCTTCATTAGATACACAATTTACATTTCATAGAATTGGCACATTCCCAAATAAGGATGAAATAAAATTTTCTAATCGTAAAAATTGGACTTAACGTAGTAAACATTGTAATGATACAAAAAAGTAGAATATATGTATAAATATTTACAACATAAACTAGAAATTTCAATCTCACGACACCTTAAAAGTATGCATACATGTATGTATGGTACATCGTATGTAAAAACTAACCATCAAAGTATTTCCATTTATGCACAAACAATTACAGTAATTTTACAAAAGGCTAACAATATCATAGTATTTTTATTCAAATAACAAAAGTATCTTAATCCTAACAATATAATATTATATATAAATGATAACTGTATCAGAACCGATAAAATATGCGTTTATTATGTAAATATAAAAACTGTCTTAACTGTAAGAATCTGATGAAAGAATGGCAGAAAAATGAATTATTTCTTGAACCCGCGATATAACAGTACAGTGTAACTGTTATACATTAATTAATTAAACTTTTTATCAATACTGTAAACATATTTCGTAACTTCATATCCATTATTCAATATTTATGCATGCAACATGTTCTGTTGATAATAAAATACGAAGTGTCATGCACAGACACCGTTATAGCAAAATATTCAACTATATCCCGAAGTTGATTTGAAACTTACTTTTTTAAACATCTGGTACAGAATGGTCCATCAGTGTTTTCAGTAGACTGCTATTCATACTGAAGAAATATTTTCATTTAGTATTCACGATTTTATCAAGTCATACAAAACGTTAGGCATTAATGTGAACGTACCTTTTAATCATATGATCGTAAATATATGATGGAATGATCGTTATAGTGATAATATTCCCACCATTTTCAATTTCTGCTGTAATTTCCTTATCTTTCATACCAATCACGTTCTAAAACATTTCGTAAAATTCGACGTATTTATCGATCATGTTAGGTATCGAAGTTCGCAAGTTTATAATCTACCTTTCCATTAACTTCAAGTATCTGATGATCTGTTAAGAGACCATTTCTGGCAGCCGAAGAATCTTTAACTAAAGCAGTAATTTTCCCATTTTTAAACTGAAACCCGATGTATCCTGTACTGTTTTTGTGCATTGTAACTGTGCGTTCAAAAGGTCTGAAAGAAATCGAATATTGTAAGAATATTTAAATTAGCAATAAAATACACTGAATTTTTATACAACCCGACTGACCAAATATAACTAACCTATCGCGTACTACTACTCTAATGTCGTTAATATCAGCATTTCGTAACATCTTGTGAACTTGCTCCATAGTATATCCAGCAACAGTAACATTATTGATACTCAAGATTTGATCCCCAAACCGTAAGCCAGCAAGTGCAGCAGGAGAATTTTGACTTACAAGACATACAAAGATGCCATTATTTACAGCATGTACTCTTAAACCAATTTTACCATCTTTATCTTTACACAGGATCAGCTACAACAGCGAAGTGATAATTTATATCTGAACATTGTAGATATATATATATATATGTATCATACAAAGTATATTATATTTACCTCCCTTATTCCATTTGTAACTTGAGCTCTTTGTAGACCTAAAGACTGTCCAGATATCGGTGCAATCATACCTGCCAAAGGTCCTGATGCTGCAGTAACATCAACCGTCATCTGATACACAAATTATCTTTTAACGTAACGATCATGCTTTCAACTAAAATTTAAATTCCAAATGTTACCTACACTCTGTCTATTTACAAGAGAATATGCAGACATATTTTTTGCTATTGTTTCCTCTGTAAGTTCTAGGCCCATATATTCTCCCAACGAGGGATACAAAGGGACAGAGGAAGAATTACAGACTGGTGCAGAAGGAGTAGCTTTTTCACACGATATAGGTATAGGTGCAACATTATATTGTGATTCCGCTTGTAGTTGAACCTATAAATAAAATGTTACAATGAGTTAAGAAGAAATATTATTTAAAGAGTATACTATTGTTTTCTTGTTTACCTTAATCATGTGATCTACTTTCATATCTTCGAGAGTAGGATACAGAGACATTTTGTATAAATTTTTCTGAAAGTAAATTCATTTACATATATACTATATATATTTGAAATACCATGAAATGTTATTTTTTGTTAAGAAAATTAATTGAGTAAACAATAATAAGTATTAATCCATTTATTACGACATACAGTAAAAATATTGTATACAACATAAATAAGTGTAAAAAATTTGAAATACTGAATGTGTCAAAATGAGCCGGAGATTTGCCGCATACCAATGTGATGAATTTACTGTAATGCTTAAGAAAAATTCTTGTACAAATATGTATATCAACAAATAAACACATTAATATTGTACCTTCTAAAATAATAAGTTAAATACACTAATTGTATCGTGATAGGTTGTGCGTTAAAAATTGCACCACTTTACGTAAAAAGAATCAAGTCACACGACTTGAACGTCACCAACAATACTTTGAAGTACTTGTTATTGATAAGCCACAAATGATGAGTAAAACAATGACGCAGCCACGTTACTGGATACTGTTAACGTCAGTTCCGTTAGAGCAATTTATCGGTTGGTCAAAAACGTTGTATATATCGTGTTTCATCCCATAGACGATTGGTTCGATACTTTGATCATGTACCATTACGCGTAGCGCCTAATACTATGTGCACCAATCCGTTTAGTTATTCCCCTATAACCCCGCGAAATGACCTCAGTTTGAAATTTCATCGTTGTAAGATTTGTTCTTTCTCTAATAAAATTCTGTAACGCGATTATATGATTTTCTGAAAAACGTATTTTACATACAAATATTATATTTGAACTGTTGCATTCATTAATCATCCGTAGACATTAAAACGTTCGTTGGGCGAAACTTTCAGCATCAAATAATACCGAAATGTATTGAAAGGATATAAGAGACTCGTGCATATTTTCTAAGAAGAAGAAAACTATATATGTATTAACTGTTGCTAATGCGAACGAAGAGGAAGCGGAAGAACCGGAAACTCTGTGTACATGACGTGGCGATTGGAGTCTTGCGCTTCAACTTCGTTGACAAGTTAAAGAAGGAATGAAATAAAGGTGGGGAGAAATAGAATGCGGTAGGGGAATAGCGGATCGTTGGCTAATACGTAGGTAGTATTCAGTGGTGTGGCCTCCGTGCGGGCCGTGGTGAACCAACAGGTGTTTCGAGCTTGGCTTTCGCGATACCGGTTCCCTTCATTTTCTAGCGGTGTTTACACCGGCGCCTTTCACTCGCGAATATACATCGAATTTATCTCTAGTATACTTGCTGTAAAGAAAACGTAATATGATGTCGGAGACCGTTGTGACAATGGACAGTTCCAGCAACAACACCAGCAATCCTCGACAGGTGCCTACGGTAAAGACAGAACCGGGTCAACCAAACCCTCTGGCTAGCATTAGATTGAACGTGCCCTACTTTAGGACCATACCCGGTATCATAAAACTCGTGCAATTGGTAAGTAAATTACATAAATCGTTATTTCCCTCGTTCGATGATTATATGCAGCGTTAGTTGGACAATGGAATTAAACGTATCTACGTAAAGATCCCGAGAAAAGTATACTTTGCTCTTTTATAGAACGCGATTTCGCTTTGTACCTTTTCCTACGATCGATACGAAGCTTTCGTTATCGGTTACCCAGAATAAAAGTATCAAATAGTATTTACACAAAAGCAATTTAACTTTTCGGAATTCTTCTACTTGTTTTTCAAAGTAAAAGATTACATAGTATTATGTAATTCAATCACGCATTATCTCAATAAGAACAGAATTTCTTCCATGACTAATAATTACTAGCATCGGGTACGTCTCGTAAATCGAAACGAAGAAGAAAGACGAAATTTTTAAACGAAAAAGATTATCATGTTTTGCGCTTTAGGATACATTTCGATATGCACTGATGCAGTTTTTTTCCTTTCTTCAAATAACATTTAATGCTGCTACAATTCATCGATACGAAAATAATCTTATCTTCCGTAGAATTTTATTTTTTACGATATCGTTAATCTTATTATATTTTGGCAGACATCCATCATTGTTTTGATGCTACGACTGTTGTTCTATCTTTTATACGACGTTGTTATTCCGAACGCGCATCCTTTGGAGTTTGGAGTATCGCGTAGTTTCGTGTTCTCGCGAGAGAATACCAGCTTACACTTTGAGAAACGCTGTATCGTAAGCAACAAAGATTTCATTCGAATTACACGGTTTGCACTGAGCCTTTAAACGAGCAACGGTATAAACGCGTAACGGTAGTTTCTTTACGGAATGGTCGGCAATGCACTCTCCAAGGGACAGAAAGGGTAGTTTTTAATTATGAAATCGCGATGTTAAGCGCAAATGTCGTTAAGCGGTAACGTTAAGCGCATTTTCTACTTCCTTCGATGTTCCTCGACATTCTGGTTTCTGGTCGAAATCGACACGATGGTACCGTTAGGTGATCAACATCGGTTCTCTTTGGTTCACGCACGTGCATTCGAAGACACGCCCGTAAATCTTTTGGAAATAGACACGAGCGTACATCGATCCGACGAAACCTCTAATTTTTCTTCGATGTTTAGTAAATAATAGTTTGCTTCGCTAATGTACAAAAGTGGGAAAATGCATGCGTGACGAACGATGATTTAGCAACGGCCCGATTGAATTACCGACAGATAGAAATCAAATATAGCTCGCTGTTATTTCATGAGGCTTTTGCCGTCCTCTTTGCGGAGGGTATATGTATTATTGATTGGCACGTATCTATCGTGTAAAATACCGTAGCGCAGATTTCGTGTTCACACTTCGGTGTTAACGAGTTTCGAGTATTCGAATATGCACCGTCCGTCAGTCGTTCCTTTTCAGCTGGACGCGAACGAAAGATGGGATTCTCGCGATGCCAGGAGTCCGAATTTACACGAGCGTTAATGATATTTAAAGAATACCGAAGAACCGGTTTTTAGTAAAAAACGATGATCGTGCATAATCGAAGAAAAAGTTGGCTGGTGTGGTGGCATAGTTTCGATACACTCGAACGCGTCCTTACGAACTAGACGCACGTTCGATGACCATACATGTTCATCCTGATGACCGGGACCATACGTGGCGTCCCACATACTCAGAGTTCCACCGCGCTGGTACACGTTCAGGCCGCGCCAACGGTATCGAAACGATTCATTAACAATTCAAGCTGTCCTTGATGTTTCGACGATGATTTTCATTATGTCGCGATCGATCCAGTACTACCGGTTGTCCACGCGCGCGACACTCGACACATTCCATCGAAATCTTTGGAAAACGTTGTTTTCAGCTTTTTCGTCGGTCCTCTCTCCTACGATCTCGTTTCTTACGCAAATCGAAATAGACAAACCTCGAGCGATCGAATAATTAATAACGAGGTTTCGTTGTCACGAAATTGTCTGCGGGACGAAGAAAAATGGAACAACGATACAAGTGGCATAATACAAATGCTATGTACCCTTCCTGTCATTCGTGTATGTCATATTTATTTTCGCGTACATACGTGTATCGCGTATATGTAAGTTTAATCTTACGTTCCGTACGCGCGTTACCCACCGACGGAATAAATCTACTCAAGCGTTTGTCAGGGTCGTCGGTAGCATAGAGCTCGTCACTTTTCCTAGTGTTTATAAAGTATTTGGACTCGTTCGTTGCGACGCGTTTCGCATTATCGGCTGATAATTGATCGTTGCATCTTTCGTCGAATATCGATCGTTTTATCGTTCTATTATAGTTCATAATATCGAATACTTTGCGTTTATTAGATTTTGTTATTCGCAGCCTCAGATTTCGAATCACTCGTGTGCGTGTATAAGCGAATCATCCGACGAGACGCGACGGGGAGAAGAGTGAAAGAGAATCTCGGTCACAATAATAGGCGTACGTTCTTTTCCGATCAGTAATCGTCGTCTATTAACCGTGAGAAGAGAACGCGCGAAAAAGTAACGCGTTAAAGTTCTCTACGTACGTATCTCTCTAAATAAACGCTTCTCGATACATTTGCCGAATCCTTTTTACGGATATAATAGCACGTATCTGTGGTAATTCGACTCGAAATGTTCTAAAAGCCTTTAAATAAATTCGATGAAATGTTATTTTTTAGGAAAAGTGAATGTTTAGCTGTTCGAGAATCGCGAATTTTAATCAGTTACAGTATAGTTCGGAGCGACGCACCGAATTACGCAATTCCAATTATTCTAGTGGTTGTCGGGTCGTAGTGCTACGAGTTCTTACGGTGTGTAGGCTGTTCAGCAGGCATATCGGCTGGTGCAACAAGTTATGCATCGCGGTAATTGCACGCAAGTAGCTTATACGCAAGGACAAGCCGCGCCTCGCAACATGGACTTGAAGCGGTATGGTAGAGTCGACGCGAATAGCTCATAAGAGCGATCATTCTTTCGCGTTCGCGAGAATACTGCCAATCGGTTAAACCAATTTCATTGTCGGATTTGTCGAGGGTGTTCGCTCGTTATTTAGCGAGTTAGCGTTCCAACTTTTCTCCGTGCGTTTACATAAAAGAATTTAGCCTTTTAAGAACGTTGCACTTACGTTATATCGTAGGTGGAATATTATGTAAATATTATTCGTCGGATTACTACTTGAAAGCCAATCAACGATAAACGAGCGGTTGTGCCAGTAATTTTTATTTTCAGTCCCGTGCTCGCGACACGACACGAAAGTACACAGAAGAAAATTACATGGAATAGCGAAGCAGGTACACGCATCGTTCATGAATGGTCAGCGTCGATATACCCGTGAAAGAATCGTGATTCACGAACCCAAAAACTTCTATACGATGCTTAACGATATACAAACTAATTCGAGTGGTCGGTATTTATCGCCGCACGTACATATCGTGTTCGTCGACGCAAAATCTCAAATCTTATTTAATTGAACTATATTTAATTGCGATTACCTAGCTATTTCTGTAACCGTTATTTACACCGTGTATTTCACCGTGATCCTACGAGTATTACAACGTACGTGAATTCCTTGTAATCGTTCGATGAATCACAACGTTGCAAAAATTGTTTAGCAGATAGGAGAAAAAAAAGAGGGCTTCTTTGTAAGCGAACGATACTCTCTTAAGAGAAAAGACGTTGTAACACGTTACTCGGTACCATGAATCTTGTAACAATTTACCGAATCCTTGCTATTCGCACCGTCCGATGCTATTACGTTGTCGCAAAGAACGAAATGGTAACTCGACTAGTACCGTAGTTGGAGCGATCAATAGGAATAAACTTATAGACCAGACAGAACGGTCATCCGATGGCGATCGTAAATGTATTATTTTCGGAAAGTTAAGATAAAGCAGGGCGTATCTCGTCGGAGTCATCGCTTTTTTAAGAAGTAGACTTACGTCATCGTCCCAATAATAAAAATTGCCTAAACTTGATCGCATAGCGTTTAAAAAAGAACTTGTCAGGCTTCAGATTTACGGATAAACGTTCGCGATTTGCATAATTTAAATTTCTTGTTTCGAGAATCTACTAACCGACTGTCGCAATTAAATCAGAGGATAATTGAGAAGGCGCCAAAACTACTTCACCATTTAACGATTTATTAAAAAGGAATTTAAAGAAAAGTTACATCGGTTTCGAGGCATTACAATAGTTGAGCAGCGTCGTGAGAATAGTTGACAGAGCCGCACGAGTTATCAGCGTAGGCTGTAAGTGGTAGGTACTTAGTAATAGTGTACGAATAGCGCATATGGGTCGTAAAGTTTCTCTTCGAGTTTTCTTATCTCTGCGTGGTCTCGATGTATTTAAGTAGTGCTCAGAATTTCATTGAAGTAAGCGGTTCTCTACGCGAACGAATAGCCACGGTCGCGTTACGAAGCGCGAGTAGCTCAGCGTTACATTCGTCTCTGGATCGCGTATACTTTTACCTCGCGTCAGAAATAATTTTAAACGCTGTTCTTGCATTCTCGTTTTGTCCCACATTCGTTTGATAAATTCATCTGACCCTTGACGATATGAACCAAGAATCTGTTTCACGCGATGTTCCAGTGACTCTTGTCCTCGTTGACGAAACGCCACGAACGATCGTTCGACGATAGATCTCGAATGCTGGTTGCTAATTTTAGAGTCGATACCGTCTCCTCGAGCACTCTGTCTGTTTCATCGGTGCTTTCGCGTCCATTCTGTGCTTCGGGTAACTCGATCGAATGCGTTACAACGAACATCCGAAAACGAGATCGAAGATCAACAATATCTATCGTGTTTCGTTTCGCTTACGATCCTGATTCTACGGGCAATTTGCGAACGACATTCGACTATCGTCATTATTACGGTCGTTAAAGTTATATTAGAAGCGATGCATCGGCGCGACACACGGATACGTATACTGCCCCCCATGAATAACGCAGAACCCCGACCTATATTTTCGAGCGGCTATTTCTCCTCCATAAAGTTATTTTAGGCACCGTCGTTTCTCTGCTCTCGAATCGGGAGAACGGTGGACAAACTTTGTACGCGACATCGCCTGTTAGCTGGTCAGAAGAAGCGATTTCCATCAGCTCTTTTACGCGCGTATATTTAGCGACGAGTACGAACAGTTAGCTTAAACGTGCTGCCGTCAAAAGGTCAATTAACTCAGTAATTTTATAGAGGAAAAATAATTGAGAGATAAATTGTAAGTAACCTAGGTTGTACGCGAGTATTCGAGACACAGCGAGTACGGACAAAATTGATTAGTTCGCTGAAAGCGATGTCTCGTCAATGCCTATACTGTTCGAACTACTTCGATAACTATTGATAATTCGTGTAACACTGCACGAACCATTGACGCTAGAAATTCTTAGCGGCGCATTTATCGCGGTCGACGACGTTTTCAAACGGTGAAAGTGAAATTCTATCTTCGGTACACGGTTTTAGCGTTCCAATCGTTCGCACTTTCGCGCCCGTTCACTCTTTCATGCATTCCTGTCTCTCGGCGTTTTATCTGCATTCGCTGATTTATCACGTTTCGTTCGACATTTTGAATACGTTTGAATATTTCGGAGAAACGCGCAAGGACGCGTGGCTATTAGCAGAATTTGTCGCGAGAAAGGAAAATCGAGAACGCGTGCCTGGAACAACGAGACCGTTTCTAGGATGAAAGTTTGATCGATGTCGGTGATGTTCGAAGTTAACGACACGGCAGTAAAGAAAAGCAAGATGTCGAGAAAATGTCCGTCCAATTGGACGTTGGTCGACGAAAATATCGAAAATGTGGAGCATGTAAAGCTGGATCCCGAAATGCAACGAGGACTGGGCTGTTTTGTTGGCGAGCACGTGTTTCTCGAATACCCGTGGGCGTACGTGAAACGAGATCTCGTTACGTATCTCTCAAACCTCTCGGAATCGTCTTTAGCAAGGTTTCAACAAAGAATTCATTCGTACAAAGCCGATACTTTTCTTCTAGGTTATTCCTCGACTCGACTGATTTCCGACGAATTCGTGATTTGCCTCAGCGAAGACGCGAAGCGCGTGGTTTCCGAACGAAACAGAGATATTTCCAAGTATATCTGGAACAAAGTTGCAAATAAAGTGAGAAAACAGGCGAAACCGTGGCGATGTTTGGGCAGCGAGTTTGAAGTAGACGAAACGTTCGTGAAAAATACTAGAGAATTGTTCGAAGTGGAAATTGTATTACCAGGGAGATTGTTGGGTACGAATCGAAAATTGTGCGACAGAAGTTCGAACGACTCTAGAGATAGCTACGCGCAACTGGTGAACGCGAACGAAAATTTCGAAAATGTCGAAAGAAAATGCATAGACAGAGTCGTTCAAACGCATCTTCCGACTCGAGAGGCCTTCGTTCAAACGTGTCTGGAGAATCCTAGAAACGCGTGGACACAGTACGTGTACGAAGACATCTTGAAGGATGCACTTGTCGGCGAAGAAGGTCTCGAAGAGGATGGAGAATCGGACGATAAATCGGATAAGAACGTCGACGAGCGATCTCGAGAAGACAAGGACATCGAACAAGCAATCAGAGACAAATCACCACTGGAATTATTTCTTGAGAGTCGATCGCCGATGATGATCGATGTTATCAGGTACAACGCTGCAATGAATTTGTACGTGGACGACGTTCAAAGTTTATCCCGGTTCGAACATAAAATTGAAACGCTTTCCGAAACGAATACCTTCCAGGAACGTTGTTCGTTCAGCGACTTCGATCTCGCCGTCGACAAAACTATCTCGGACGTTTGCGTGCGTTCCGAGCTAACGGAATACCTAGCGATCTCGTACATCAGCGCTTCTACTCGAATTTCGGTAAACGAAATGATGAACGAACGCGAATTTCGGTCTAGGGTGCTTCTTTGGACGTTTCGTGATCCGCTTCGTCCGCGTCTCAGTCTTCAGGACCACAGAGAGATTTACCGTGTATGTTTTTGCCCGTACGACGACGATTTAGTGATAGGAGGCTGTTCTAGCGGTCAGGTGATCGTTTGGAATATCGGAGAGTACTGGAGCAACGATCGAACGGATAAATATATAAAATTTCGAAGATCATCGCGAAACAATGTGCCAGTAGTTCGGCCAATTATTGTTTCGGATAAACATAGTTCTCATTGCCTACCTGTTCGAACGATTCGATGGATACCTGCCAACTATAGGATAGAGCCAAATGGAAAGTTGACAAAATCATCTGTTTCCTCGAGCGCGCAGTTTCTAACCGCTTCCGAGGACGGCACGGTAGCCTTTTGGAATCTTTCTGTTCGCTCGAAACACATCGTTCGCGGCGACGAGATTTTTCAACCCGTTTTTCGTTTAAGAGTTCCAAACTCGAGTCAAGAACCACGGAATTTTAATCTGTTATGTTTGTGCCTTCCATCGATCAAAGTTTTGGACGAGCGCGATCTTCGCGAAACTTCGCGAGAAATCTCGCACGATCGGTCGAATTCGAATGGAACACGGTACACGAAGAGTTTGTGGATAGGTTGCACGGAAGGATTGATAAAGTGTAGATGGGAAGAGCAGCCAGAGGGTACAGTAGAAACGGTCGAATGTAAAATCTTGAGTCGTTCGTACGCGCACGACGGCCCAGTAACAGAAATCACGAGGTCTCCTCATCATCAAGACGTTCTTTTAACGATCGGTGGTCGAGTGTTTGCCATTTGGAGGGACGATTATTTGGATTCTCCCGTATTTCGAAGAAGAGCTCGCAAGTATACGACTTGTTGTTGGGCCAACGAACCCGGTGTTTTCGTGCTCGGCACTGTCGATGGTATACTCGAAATTTGGGATATAAAAAACGAACCGAATCAGCCGGTGTTCTCACGAGTCGTATCGTCCAGATCGATCAGTAGCTTGATCACGTTGGATTACTCGGCGTCTAAAGGTTCGAAGATGATCGGCGCAGGCGATCAAAATGGACATTTTCGCGTGTTCGAAGAACCACAGATCTTTCGTAGCGGTCAGACATCGGTCGAGAGGATGGATTGGTTCGAGGAATACATATGGAGAGAAGTACGTAGAAAGAGAGTTTTCAGCGGCTGGCAAGAGGATTTTCTCGCCAATGATCCGGTCATGACAGCGAAGCGAGCAACTAGGCACGACGAAGAACGCAAGAGAGAAGAGGAAAAGGCGAGAGAAAGGCTTCGGAGAGAGCGGGAAACGCGTTTGAAATCGAAAGCCGAGAAAAGGGTGCGCAGTGCTCCGCTGCCGAAGGATGTTGCATGGAAATCGAAGGAATATCACAGAATGAAAAGTGTTCTGTTGAGTAAAAAAGGTTTGATTCCTGACGTGCTCCAAGCGCAAAGACTGCCTCTCGTTGTAGCGCAGACCGAAAGGGCTGCAAAGTTGAAAAAAGCTCGAGACAAAGTTGCCAATCAGGAAGTATACTTTTCGAACGAACTGCTCGTCGATTTTCCGGAACTGTTCGAAACGAAGGACGAATCGTCGAAATTCAAAGGACCGGTCGAACAAGAGAAATCCGTAGTCGATTACTTAGAGAAATTCAATGAAATACGCGATCGAGCTAACGAGATATTTGCAAACAATTCGAAGTTTTTGAACGATTGACATATTTCTTCTATTTATACGCAAGAAAGTATTTGCGACGGCACAGTTAAGGATATCGAGAAAATGAAATATATGTATATAATGAAATGCATTTTTTTACGTTTCAGGTTCTTGGTATAATATGCATGGCATGCGCGTCTCCTGCGTGGCTAGCAGCAACCCACTGGTTTCTTTTCGTCGCAGTGACAGCTTTCATCGCCTCTTTATTATGGTGTTTCGTTTACGTATTGTCGATTCGAGAGGCGCTTAAACTACCCATCAATTGGATTTTGACGGTAAGCGAAAAATCGCGATCACACAAAAGCAACGATATTCGATTACTCATCGAACACGCGTTTTGCAGGAACTTCTGAATACTACGGTGTTCGCCATACTCTACATGATAGCCTTCATAGCGCAATTGTCGGTATGGAGCGCGGTGAACTATCCGTCCGTCTCGAGGAACATCGCAGCAGGGGTAAGAATAAACGGGTTTTACGTATTATCGGTCTCGACTTAATCGCGTCAAGTAAAACAATACAGGACGCGAACGAAACGTTTCGACTAAAGTTGACGAACGTTCGTTTCCTTGTCTCTTCGGGAACGCGTTCAAGCGATATCGCGAAAAAACGATCGTTAAAATCTCTCTCTTACCGTTTATGCGCAGGTATTCGGAATATTCAACACGCTAGCGTACGCCGCTGGAGCGTATTTCCTGTACGTCGAGTGGAAGAGCAGCGACACGCAGTGAAGAAGATCGGAGGTATCGAAAGAAATCTAGGTACCTGAAGAGCACCTACGACGAAGCTACTACACTTGGGTTCCCTTCATTCGACGACTACTCGAGACCACAATACACCGTCGCCGAATCATCGAGTTCGATCGCAAAAATAAGCACCAGGCTAGAAAACGAGATCGATGGGTCGAAGCTAGTCCAGCGAGGTCCTTTCCCAATCGTGTATCGTAGCTTATGATCAGAGAGACTCTGTAATTTATGTGCCTTAAAATTAGTTTGCTCGATCGACGATCGTTCTTCGATCGCTCCCGTCGTCGTCTGGAATCCTCGCGAATTCTCGAGGTTACGATCGATAGAAATTATCGACGCCTCTTTTTTTTTTATATTTCAAACCAAGTTTCGAATGACCAAGCATTCCGGATGACTACGATAGCGACGATCGCTCGTTAGCCAAATATGCAGGAATGGCTAACCTGAAACGGATCGCGTCGCGCGCCCAATAGGAGATACCAACGACTCTCCGCAACTTTTCGTTTCGAGGGAGAGATTCGTAGATTCTCCTTTTAAATTTTACCGCGATACGGACAAAGATATCAGTACCAAAAGAACGTTGACAGCGATCACGTCGATAGAGCGAATCGCGGCTCAGGGTCGATCAAATCCATATTGGACGTCAATCTTCCCAACTTTCTTACAGTCGCGTTTAGTTTCTCGGTCGTGTTACCGTACCTACCTCGTACGGTACTCTCCCGTCCAATTCACTTTTCTAATTGTACCTTTCCGCGTTGTCGCGACTTTTTATATTTATATGTATACACTTGGTAAATATATACATGTACGTATCTGTCTCATATAGATAATATATTTGCACAAATTTCAGATGCAGCGCATTGTTGTTTCTTTCGTTTTTCTTTTCTTTTTAATATTTTTCGTTGTTTCGTAAGAGGACTCGCGTACGACTCACGTTCGTGAACGTAAGGACAGTTCGTTGGTACGTAAACGTGTTTAAATACATTGTATTTCTTCTGTACACATTACCATGGAAATATATGCTCGTTTTCGACATTGCGTTCGCTTACGATTCACGGTTTATCCTTTTTGCAACGACCGTATCGCGGTACGCACGAGAGCGATACAAGGTAAGAACATGTCGGATGTGGTTTACGATCGTAAAATTAAGATGATTAATTGACAACGAGCGGATAAAGAATTGTTCGGAACGATTAATAACGACATTTAGATAAACGAAAAGATTGTTTATGAGTTCGTTGGATGATTACGAGTAACTCTTGCGCGTTTCTGCGAAGAGGATATTGCATGGAAAACGTGTGTATTCGACAATGATATCACCAGTGACGTCATTCATGGCACCGCGTTCGAAACGCAAGCGTACGCCTCAGTCAGTCGCAGACGCTCGCCGCGCGACCATCTACCTCGAAAAGGTCAGTTTAAAGCCGGTACAGATTTTTGCTTGCTTTCGTCGGTAGACAGAATCCATCGTATACCGTGTTATACGCTTACGATGCCGAATACTTGTTCGATCAATATCCTGGAATTCTTCATCGAAATTTCTACGACGCGTACACTACGAAAAAACTACATCGATACGCGTTTGTTTTATCGTCCGAGTTTGTTTTCGAAGTAAATTGTTCATTCGCATTTTTTGCGTTTGACCGCTATTTATCCGCCTATCAATGAACAGGGCACAAACGCGTTATCAAAGCACGATTGTCTCGCGTATTCTTATTGATTCTATTCGAAGATATGCTTTCGTTTAAAAATAACCAGTGACGACATTTCGGGGGTGTTTGTTACCTCGTCGTCGCACTAATTCTGGGATATTCGTGATACCAGTTTGTACACAGGATCGTTAATGCGTATTCACGATATACCGGCAAGTTTTACAATAATTTTCCCGAGATTCGCGATCTATTATATGCATATAGATCTCGGTATAAAACATTGCTTCCGCTTATTCGATAAGCTATCGTAATCTTCGTTATAATCAGTCAGGCGATACTTCTTTAGTTGCTTCGTTGCTATACTTTCTTCGTCGTTGTGTAGAAGGAGAAAGTGATTACAGACGACTGTTCCAGTTATCGATCCGCGACAAAGTTCAGGGGCGCGGCAATATATGTACACTAAACGAAAGCGAAAACGTTCACGACTTTCCTCTCGTCGAATCGTGCTCGTACGTCAAAACATCGTGTTTGCATCTTTCGTTCGGTTTCGAACGCTTAGACGAACGTATATGACGCGAGAAACCTGAGATGGTAATCGAGACCGGAAGTTAAAGTTTCTCTCGTGAAAATAAAACGCGTGAGACTCGATGACTATTTTTGGGTATCGAGAACCGGAGGAGGTAGTTCGCAAAATGTAGGCCACGCCTTGAAATCTTGGCCTTGGCCCTCTTCCTCGTACTGGAGTCGCTTTCTATCGAGTATGTTCGTTGCAACGCGTTGATAATTTTTTTTTCCTATTAAGAACAAGATCTTTCGTTAAAAAAGAAGAAACGTTGAACCACTCCTGGATTATAAGGTAAATTTACGGCAGCGTACAACAGTTATCGAGAACTTGTATCAGCATCCAAGTGGAAAAAGGATGGTTGCATCGTTCGCGGATGATATCACAGTTTTCTACCTTCGTTGTAACGCGCTACTTTCACGCGCTGAAACGCGCTCGTTTCAGAACCGACAACGAAGGAAATGACAATGTCGCATTCGGTAACCATCAGGACGCAAACCGTGACTAGTGGCTCCACGGCGATCATCGTTAACACCGGTTACTTGAAAACGTGGAGCGGTCTTTTAAAACTATTGGAAGTGGTAAGCTTTATCGTATATCGTAACGTTAAATGAACCTTTCGAAAAACCGTATATACACAGCAAGGTTCTCTTATCAGATACATTGTTCCGTTTCCGCTAACAAATTGCGGTCTGCGCGATACACGAGTTGGTTTTAATCTCGTCTTATGTTTTCTTTGCTTCCCTCTCCATCGAGCAACCGTTTTTCAGGCATTGGGAATCGTTTGCGTGTCAATAATTGGCAATCGATTCGCTACCTACGCTTCATACGGAAATACCGAAGAATTACTTTTCCTTTTAATAGCGACGACGTTTATGATCTCCAGCTTTATTCTACTCGTAAGCTGTTTAGCGTCTCTCTCGACGTCGTCTATTATAGCGAAAACCATTTTCGTAAGTATCAGGAAGATATTCGCAAATATAACAAGATATTCGTAACCACGTTTTTTTTTTAGGAACTTCTTTTTCATGCTATAGCATTTGGATTATATTTGGCTGCATCGTTAACTTTTATAGTGCACGTTTCGAATATGAGACGTTCCAAAGAGTACGAAGTATTAATGGCTGCTGCGGTAAGTCGAGCGAACGAGAGCATTGCACTCACAATCAGTGGATGTACTTGTATCTTTTTCTTTATATTTACTAATAATTTGTCCGTTTATCGTGTTGTTTTTTTAGATATGCGGATTGGTAAATTCCACGTTGTATCTTCTAAGCACTATCTTTGCCCTTCGGACATACAGAGGAATCTGAGTTCCCGAAAATGTTCGTTCTCATGATCGTTCTTAAATCGTACGTATTTATTGTTCGTTCTACGTATCTCGCGAACCATTCAAGTTTTGGACATGGATCGTACATCTTATCTAACTGGTGACTGTACCAAACTCTTTTTCGAGACTATTTACTGTATTTTCTATATTTTCTACGCGTGTACTTGTTACTGTACTTGTTATTTTTATGAAATTTTTGTAACATCGACACAAACAGAAACGCAACAAACAATTTACGCTTAATCGAATGCCTGATCGTATGTTTTACAGATATCGCGTGTTTTATACGGTTCCTTTATACATATACATTTACTCGCACAAATTGTTTCTGAAGCGTATTTACAAAAAAGCGTGTATGTACGCGTCTATATGTACATGTATTTATTTGACATATATCTAACGTTTATACGAAAAAAATATACCAAGTAGTCGTACACAGTGTTAATTATTGTAACTCGATATGCAATGGCACACGATGAAATAAACGTTACCCGAATTCCGAACGATTATTTATTTTCAAAACAATGTCCTACCGCTCCTTGTTTTTTATGTACGTCATCGATAGACCGACGTAATTATTATGAGTCAGAAAATTTGAGTGGACAGAACACTCGAGTCTCGCACGACCATTGTCATAGCGCGGATTCGCGCGTAGCAACGTATCGCGCGAGAGGAGTTTGGACGAAGCCGAACAAACAAAGAAGATAGGATAATGCTAATTGCATTACGCAGAATTTCCGCGATCGGTTCGTTTCGTGTTCGTCCATCGGTTGAACCATGATCGAATCATATGGTGACGTACGAAATTGAAACGTTCGCTTCCCTTGCTTCCTATCGCGGTCCAACGTAGATATCTGCGCGCGTACAATTCCCGTTTCCTTCGTTCTTTTTTCTTATATTTCCTGTCTACCGGCAACCGGGCGTATGTTCCGATGCGGCACGTGCCAGAAATAGACGGTATCCCTTGTTTCGGACGCGACGCAGGGGGTGTAACGACATTTAAACGTTCTGGATCGGCTGGTGCAACACCCTCGGTCCTCAGTTTGCTCGAACGAGTTCGTCGAATGCGATCGTTGTCTCTCCCGTAAGCGTTCGGTAAATTATTCGTCGAGTAATCGTCGGTCTCTGTTCCGTGTGTGCGAGTCGATCCAACGTCTACCTCGTAACGATGCGAATCAATCGTCGTTTAATCAATTAGAACGATCGTATCAAGGGGTCTGCACACGAGACGGTTTAACGAACTCGACGGACACCTACGCTTTGGTAGCGGATACGTTTTCGCGAAATTCTCGACAATCGAACGCAGAATCGAATAAGCGGACTTAAACCGATTCGAACGAATCCACGACCTCATGGGTAGAAACGGAGTCGGTCCTGTGATCAGGATGTCGTCTGCGAGCACTCATGCTGCCGGAGGCGTCGAATGTTGCTTCTGTAGGTGTTGCACGTGCATACACATCGAATTTCTGAAAACTATGCCCGGAGTATTGAAGCTGTGCGAAACGGTAAGTTCGACCGGTTAAACGACTGTATAAAGAATGCACGGCTTAAATAACGGGTCATATATTTGTGCGTAGATTATCAGTGGTCTGGTACAAAGCTTGCTAATTAATTACGGTCTGAAATACAGTACAACGATTGGTTCGGCTTTCGAAGGATCTCTGACCACGTCGTCCGCTTGTTTCTTGACGTCAGCGGTGTTACTCGCTTGCTATATTGTATCCGAAAAATCATACAGGATGATCAGATCCTCTCTTTTCGTACGTAAAAACTGTTATCATCGATCGACGTACGTCGTGTCTGGCTATCAGAATTTTATTTTCGCGTTTTACTTTTGCAGGAAATGATGTTTAACGCTTTAGCCTCCTTCTTGTATTTAAGCTCAGCCTCTTATTTGGCGTTCTCTACGAAGATCTTTCTTCTCCCTGACTATTATATTAGACCAGGATTCGACGTCTATCCCGCAATGACTGCGGCTTACGTACGCGCGCCTACTTCTAGTCATTGTACTTGATTTTTGGATTTTTATAGTTTCATTTCATTTGCACAGATTATGAGCGGCTTCGTGGGAGTACTACACGGTGTGGATGCATATTTCTCTTACGTTCATTATCGAACCGGAAGATGAAGAAGAAGAGATATCGGATTCGGGAAAATATCGATCAAAAGATAAAAGGCAAGCAACGCGTATCGTTGCGTACAATATTCGATAAGTATGCTGACCAACCCATTGTTAAATCTGAAAAGACGCAAAGATGCGCGAGATAGGTCGATAAAATCGACCCCGTGATAAAACTAGAGCTTCGACGACCAATTAACAAATAGAGGTAAACATTATTTTGTTCGGTTTATTTTGATCACGATTCAGATACTCAAGGTCGCGCATCGAATCGATATGATTTTATGCTTAATTAATCTTTATGTAATTTCATTAACAGCGATATGCATATAACAGTATTTTTCAATAAACATTTACGAAATTTAGTTGATTCGTCGTTGCGTTATTCTTGCGGAACAACCTTGCATTTAACACAAATTTATTTTAAGGTCCTTTGCACGCGTCGCGGAAAAAGAGTGTCCCGCTGTTTCGTGTACTTTTACTTTTACGATTCGTATAAACAATTTTACCCGTGTCTCGTGCAGTTTTCGAAATAGTTAGACGCTCCACACTGGTACGATACTGTAAACAAAAATTGAAACGACTGTATTTTGACCCGACTGTAGGGTAGGTAAAGGCGCTCGACTACGCGTTCAGTTCGGTACAGGTAAAGTTAGACGAAAAGGAATTTTCTGTGTGGAAGGCGCAAAAAGAAAACTCTAACAAAACGAATACGTAGATGTAACGATATTAAGAAAGGTTGGCGAAAGTTGCTTCTCGATTTCGACGCGATATTCACGATCCTTATAGACGAGCGATATTGGAACGTAAATGACGTACAATTTTGAAGAGGACTGTACAAAAACTGTGCAAGTCGTTTCAATACGTACCAGGGTATACGTGGATCCCGGACAGTGAATAGTGAATGGAAGTTATACGCGTCGGTCCTCACGGACTCTTCGACGGAGACCGTGAGGTTTCTCTTTCCTCTTTGCCCCACCTTCCCCTTCCCGTGATCCCTGAAGCGTAGCCAGGTCTCTCTTCCTCTCTTCTTCTTTTGGCCTTTAATCTCTGTCTTTGTTTCACGCGTGCGGTTTCTGTTACTCTCGTAGAAGCCTCACCGAGCATATCACATGACCGAGAGGCATGTGGACGACAGTTTACTTCGGGATCTCGAACCGGTCGATTCGCGGACAATTTCGAACACTGCTCGCGATCAAGCGTAATTAAAGCGCAAGAAAAATCCTTATTGCTATAATATGGGGTTGCACGACAGAAGCATCAACGATACCTCGAGAATAGCGTCGTCGATAAAAGGTAATTTTATTTCTCTTCTTTCTTTACCTTATATACGCGGCTTTAACCGTTTGCCTCGCGTTGCTCGTGTTAAAAATAACGGCGTAAACGCGATAAAACGAATCGTTGTTTCAAAGTATTACTTGAGAAGCGAAAGGTGTCCAAACAAAGCTTTTGCACGATATCTCTTTCGTCTGTTCTGGCAACCAAGCGACGAACAGCGAATTCCGTAACATTGGATCTTTGCAAAAATCGTAGAACTTTCAAAGGGTTAAACAACGCTTCTATTCATTAGCTGTTTCCGGCGGGAAGGACGCGAAGCGACAAATTTCACCCTCGAATTGGTTAAACGTACGGTTTTGTTTAGCGTGTCTTCTAAACGCGTTTCTATAGCGTATTCTCCGATGTCTCGCGTGAAATTCAACAGGTGCCAGTCACGAATGTCCCTCTTCTCTCGTTCCTCGTACACCGTCGCGCCGTTGCACCGTGTTTTATTCTGGATTTTGCGCAACGCGATAGTACAGACTAGGTATTACGTGGTAATTCGTTGCAATGTAACTGCGAAAGAAAAAGCAATCTATACCGGTACACCGAATTCGCGCGATACTTTCTCCGAGTTACAACGCGAATGCAACTGACCGATTTCACTCTTAATATAAATCCATTTAATCGCCTTTATCGCGATAGTTTCTATGCCGATTAGCATTTGTAATTACGATAATTAAATCATTTTTGAGAACGAAATTGATTAGATTTAATTCGACGGTAGAACGAGGCGGTACGACAGATTAGTTGGTGATAATTCGAGAGCCAATATTGATTTTGCGACAGACGAGAAAGGATGTAACGCGAACACCGTATGCCGTACACCGTTTACTATACAGTACTAACTCCTGCTTCGATGAAAGGACGAGGGAGGTCTGGTATGTAACAGGTGTCGATAAAATCTTCAAGTTTATGAACCTGTTAAGATGAAATTGGCAAGCGACGCGATCAAACGGGAATTATCGTCCTAACTGAATCGAATATACAGGTAATTTCGTACGAATTAAAGGCATGTGCGATTGTGATAAAATGCGTCGATCGTCACGACGACAAACAGTGTCCCGTTTATTCGCGAACGGGCAAATAAAATCACCGCGCCAAATATTTATACGTATAAAATTAATTACATAACGTTTTCTATCGTTACTGTAATTGTTGCTGTTTATTATCTTCTTTACGCGATATCAATGACGCGCATCGTCAACGCCTCTCGCATTAAATCGTTGATCACCGATTAGGGCGAACCGTTCAACGGGTATAACAAACTTTTCCGCAACAAATTTTTTTTCTTTCATTCGCGCTTCGATTTGTACTGCGAACGCGTTATTGGAAAAATGTGGATCGATCTTTGTCGTTGCAAATAACTTTCACGAATCGTTTTTTATGCAGCGTAAGTATTTTCGTTTAAAGATCGACGCTCGTAGGGCTGGCTTCGTGAATACTTGAAACCCTTCCCATTTCCTGTTTGGCGCTGTCACGGAACGTTCAACGGGGTGTCCGTACGTGCCGCGAAGAACGTCACCCATGGTTTCTCAGGAAGAACGCGTAACGTGCAATGACGTCAATCGACAAAACGATCGATTCATTTTTTCATATTCATTTTCTCTGTCCAAAATGATATCCGTCGGGTAGAATTCGAATACGTTGACGACATTGTTTTTGCGAACGTACACGGTACGAGGTTGCGATACCACCATTGGGTCGTTGACCACAAATTTATGTAAGTCGAACTCTGTTGCAAAGCGAACCTAAAATCGCGCGGAATATTTTACCATTACGAAACTATTCGTCATAACAAAACTATTTCGTTACCACGAAAATTAATCTCATCGCGAGTTTTTATCGATATCTGAGAACTTTCTGATTCGTGTCGCAGGAGAAGCGTCGTGGTCAACGACAGAGGAACCCTTTACTCCGGAAGAAGAGGATGCGATAGTGACGCTGGTAGTAGTCGTGATCGGTGTAATCGCCGCTATAGTAATACTGTTCTCCATGGGAATCTTCATCGACTGCAAGCTTCAGTACGCGTAAAGACGTGAAAGACCTCTCTTAAAAGTTGAAACGATAGCTGATCTTTTATTTCGTTACAGAAGGAAGAACGTTTTGAAGAAAAAGAAGTTGAAACTGAAGATGCCTCCGTTGTCTCGCGCGAGGAAAGTTCAAAAGGAGGATGCGAAATCGTTAGCATCGGACATGTGTCCAAATGGTTCCAGCGACGTTGGTTTCCGCGCAAGGGATGCCATAGTTTGACATCGTCCACGATACCGTGCATTCTTCGGGCAAACGAGTCTGGGAACATCGGTGAATTTTATCGAACTTCTTCGTCAAGTTGAAAGGAAGTGGTTTCTAGATAACGTTCAAGAAACTGGGCAAACAAAGTGTTCGAACATGGTTTTTGTAACGATAACGCGAAAAGAAGCGGTACGGTAGTTCGCGTTAATGGCCTCGACCCAATAGCGAACACGATCGCGACATCGATGATTACACGACGAAACTATATGTATAAACCGGTACATCACGAACGTCATCGCGAACAATTTGTTCCCTTTTCTTTTCTCCTTTACCAGAGATTAGCGCTGTTCGCGCGACCTCGATTCACCTATTCCTATTCATTCTACGAATCGTTCGAATTTCCCGATTGTATCGATCGGATATCGTATATATCGTTAATCAGAATATTTCTTATTTCTCAGGCAATGGAAACGTACAGTAACACGATCACGAACCTAAGCTTGAATCTTTGTTCGAACAATAATTACGAACGTACGCGCATATAATTACGCGCGTTTACGAGTCTGCGAAAACGGCTGTGTACGTACATGTTTCGCCAAATTCGCGACCACGACGACAATTTCAACGTCTAGTCATCGTACATCGTCCTTGTAACGATCAGCGAACGTTGGAACACCGTGTTAACAGAAAAGTAATTGTATCGTGAATCCTTTGTCGAAATTTGTTCGATGCTAAGGATATTCGTGACACGATTACAAACTTCGAATAAAGGAAGTTCTGGATGTTAAACGCGAACGCTTTATAATCCTAAAGATTTTTCGTTAAAAATTTCGTATCAACTTTACACCAGTATTCGTGTGTAAGCGTGTATCATACGCATAGGTACAGAGAACAGTATATACAGTTGGACTTATCGAAAAATAACAAGTTTTATTTTCTTGCACACGAGCGACTTCATACGTCGTTCTCCCGTAAAGGAACAAACAGGTAATCGCGTCGCGTGACGTATATTTAATCATTACGATCATTATGCTACATAGCGATAAAATTTGATCAAAAAGTATTCGTATGAAATTAGGTGCGCGTCAAATGTTTCGTAAAAATCGTTCTTTTATCTTATAAAGGAATGAAAAAATTTTGCTTCGTAAACTGACGGATAATATTTCGTGTAACCATATTATTACCACAGCTGCTTTATCGTCATCCGTGAGATACGTTTCGACTCTTTGCTCCTTTCATCCAAGATAAAACAACGTACTTGAATCACAGTCTGACTGGAAATAGGTTCGGATCGAGCCGTATTTCCTGCATCGTTCTATTTCTTTTCAAATTCGAAATGATGTCGATCCACATGTGCCGTGTGCATATACGTATAGTTTGCGGATTCTCTAGGAATCACACGCGTCCAAGGACCATTGCCAACAGAGCCATTCGAACGTAGACACCGTTTTCGGCCTGTCGGAAGTATGCGGCACGAGGATCCGTGTCGAATTCCGGACTGATCTCGAAAACGCGGGGCAACGGGTGCATCACCACCATCTTCCTTTTCGCTCGAGACATCAGTTGCGGGGTAATTACGAAGTGACCGCAAACCTGCAACGCGTAGAAATGATTCAAAATTACGTATTTGTTACACGTCCAGGGACGCTATTCTTTCGGTCACGAGAACATGCTTGACGCGATCAAGTTTCGCGTTCCAAATCGGTCGAACCGAATGGAATTTGATTCGTCGAAACAAGTTACCTGTCGATATTCTGCCTGTGTTGCGAAACGTTCTCTCTGAATGCGTGTCATGTAAAGGACGTCCGTGTCTGGAAGAGCATCTTCGAGCGTGCTAAACTTTTCCTGCGGGATTCCACGTTCGGACACGTATTTTACCACATGGTCGGGCATGCCAAGGCTAGGAGGACATACGTACTGAAGTTCCACGTTGTATAATGTCAATAATCTGTAAGACGGCGTATATTCGATTACATCGATTCGGAGCAAATAAAAAGTACAGCGTACGAAGGGTACTTACCTTGCTAAAGAATGAACCGTTCTACCGTGCTTCAGGTCTCCAACCATGGTGATGGTAAGGCCGTTCACCGTACCAATTTCATCTCTGATCGTGAAAATATCGAGCAACGCTTGAGTCGGATGTTCACCGACACCATCGCCAGCGTTGAGTAACGGCTTCCTACAGTGTTGCGCGGCTTTCTGAACGAATGGACCGCGATAGCGATAAGCAGGTTTATTTCACATACTTCCCATAATTTATAAGATATTCGCGAAACACTCACCGATACCGCTCCTGGTTCTGGATGACGAAGTACCACGACGTCCGCGTAGCCAGCCATCACCGCCACGGAATCTGCAATGCACGGAAACGTTTCGATCGTTTTAATTTCAATCGCTTTTAACCGCGAACGAATGTTTAATGCTCGAGATTATGAACCTTCCAGGGTCTCTCCTTTTTTTACGGACGATGTCGAGCCATCCATGTATATCACTCGACCGCCAAGTCGTTCCATCGCCGCCGCAAAGCTACAAGAAGTCCTCGTGCTGACTTCGTAAAAGATCGACGCCATCACTTTTCCCTATTCGAGAACGAGATTGATTACTTACGTTTCGTACGTTTTCGTTTCTACGATTTAAGCCCGTCGCGATCGGAAGCAAATATTCTTACCCGTAAAATATGGTCCAGTGATCGTTCCTTTCTAACCGCACCGCGCAGGACTTCGGCAAGATTAAATACGTCCTTCAACGATTCTTTCGTAAAAATGTCTACGGACAAAACGTTGTGGCCGACTAAATTTTGGCTAGTGTGAACCGAAGGAACCGGTGCCACGGTTGTCACGAGAAGATTAGGGTTGCTGTCGCTTTTATACCTGGTCGCGTTGCTGATGGGAAGCGGCGAAACGTTTCGTTGAATCGTTGGAAATTTCGGGTGGTCCCGAGATTCCACGTCGACGGCAAAGTGAACGTTCGACTTTTGCGTCGTCGACTGTAGCAACTGCGCGTACGGTTCTGAAAATAACGCCGAACTTGTTCCATCTTTCGAATTCGGTATAAGAAAGTTCTATCGTAAATCGAACAAGTGTTTGCCTACCGTTCTGCTCTTCTTCGGACATGTCGTAATTCGGTGACAACAAACCGTCCAAAGCAGAGTTTGGTCGACTAACGACGACGTCGACGATCGCGGCCGGTGCAGTTGTCGCGACCTGATGCTTCGTTTTCGCTTGAATCTCTCTGATATCCTGTCCAAAGCCAGGATTCACCAAAACTTGCCCCTCGACGTAAGCGACTTCTCCTCGTAAAACTACCCTGTGAACCGACCCTCGAACTTTCATTCCAGCGAACGGAGTCCATTTCGATTTGCTGAAAGGCATCGCTTCCGGAATCACCCACTCGTCATCGAGATCTACCTCGATGTAGGTATTTGCCTGATCAGGCACATTGAAAATCTTTTTCGGATTTCTATACAGCTTGTCGACCACGTTCTGAAAACGCACACGTATTTCGTAAAACTAATGTAAATCATTATTTCGTAATCGTGTCGACGCTTATCGTAAATACGACGAACAGATAAGGAAACGTCGCTACCTCATTTAAGTGAAAATCATAAATTATCGATACATTTGATATACGACTCGTTCGATATACAAGTAGGCATTATTTAGATTTGTATCGGTCAAACTGCCGCGACTACTCAGCAAAAAGTATCTCGGAAGGAATCAGAGTGATAGGGGCACACTCCGATTCTCGCGAAAACTAGAGAATCTAGACGCGAACTATACCTCTATCGTTAATTTTCCTTCGTGAACCGCTGTCAATAAAAGCGGAAGCATGGTCTCGAGTCCAGGAAATCCAGGCGGTGGTTTTTCGCTGGACTTTTCTTGTATCGTGTGCGGTGCTGGAACATTAAAAACGCAGACAACGTCGATGACGAATCTATCATAACGCATCAGAAAGATTTTGATCGTGGAGCACGCAAGTCGAAAGCGCATCTTACCGTGATCGGTGGCAAAGCAATCGATCACGTCGAGATTATCCCAGAGTGCTTGCTGATCCTCTCTGCTTCCCAATATCGGTCTTACTTGGCCTCGTCCGTGGCCTATTCGTTCGAGATCTTCCTCGCACAAGAACAAATGATGAGGACATACTTCGCAGGTAACGGCCATTCCCTGAAAAGATCGGGAAAAGATCGGTCGAGTTCTAACGATAAGAAAATTTGCAACCGACAGCGGTTAGGTACCTTTTCCTTGGCAGCGCGTATAATTTGAATTTCTTCTTTTCGGGCTACGTGACACACGTGAATCGGTCTGTTGTGCAAACCGGCAAGCAAAAGTATAGCGGCCGTGGTTTGTCCCTCGGCGTGCACGCAAAGAGGATAACGTTTTGGCCAACTTTGAAAATGCTGAAACGAACGTGCATTTCGTAAATCGTATTCGTAAAACGTAACGTTGTTCAAATAGTCGAATATCAAAAATATTATCGTGGTGTACGGTTGTTTCTATACGTTCAATTCGGTCTTTTGCGATATACCTTGATCCATATGGTTAAATCGGTCAATCGAAGGGTAGTGAAGGTTTCGTTGAGATACATTTTAAGCCCCGCTGCCAACGGAGCCAATTCGGCTGTTATGTTGTAATTATCCGACGAAGCACCGACAAAAATTGCGTAATCGCATCTCGCGCTGGAAACAGCACGCTGTAGCGACAGCGAATTTCAGAAAAAAATAAAGACAGGCGGAAATATCGTTGAAAAAGAAAAGCTACTTTCTTACCTCCTTGGCCAGAGTGAAAGATTGGTGATCGACGACGGCAGGATAAGTGTTGGGCATCGCGAAAATCATCGTGATACCCCCGGCGAGCGCGGCCGCGGTACAAGAAGCAAAATCCTCTTTGTAAACTGCTCCAGGATCGCGCGTGTGTACGTGAACATCGATCAAGCCAGGAAGCTTGATCATCGTTCGCGAGGATACGCAATCCGTGTGAGTTTTCATGCGAGGTGCTCGTCCACCGAGCATCCTCATAGCCTGCGCGATAAATCGTTGTCAGTTTACGATCACATTTAGATCGTTAAGAGTACACGTCGGTTCGACGATGCGTTAGAATATTTGTTCGACCGAGAACAATCGTCGAAATAAAAATACTACGTATCTACCCCTGTTCCGAAGATGCATTTCAGAGACACATCATCAACTTCGTCATTTCAGTCTGCGACTATTTCTGCGGATAACGTGACTAAACACGTTTCACGATAAGAAAACAATGTTCGATGATTAATAATCGGTAGAATGATTAACGACGTTACGAAGGGAGCAGAATTTATAAAAAGTTTTTGAAAGAACAATTATGCGCGATACTCACTTCGACGAGCAATTTAGCACATTTCACATCCGTGATCAGAGGAACGGAATAATCGACCGCGAGTCTTCTGGTGCGATATCCGTGAGTCATAAAATTCGAGACTCGTCGTGCACCGCCGTTTCTCATTGGCAAATTAATCACGAGATCAAATTGCTTCTTCGAGAGAAAATCGGCCAAATGTCTAAGCTCGCTCGGACTAGAATCTTCGTTCATGCTGATGTTCTCGAAGGTCCATTGCACCGGTTCTACCTGTACATCGAAAAAGTTTATTGATCGAATATTATTTTTTTTAAGATCTGTCGTTTCGACCAGTTATCTAGATCCGAAAAATTAGGTCGCTATCGTTCCCCAATTCACTTATCGTTCCGGACGTTACGTTCCCTCGGAGCGTGGAATTTCTCGTATCTCTATCCGATGATATCTTCGAACGAGTATTAGTAATTCCGTAAGGTTATATCGAAGGAGATAAAGAAGATATAATTCATGAGCTAATACATATTTAGAAACGTGCGCCTACCGGTTCTAAATGTACAAAGTCTTTTCGATCCAAATTTTATATTGTCCATTATGTTATTACGAGGGAAGAATCGATTCGCGATTACGTCGACATTGTTCATCGTTCAGATTAGATACAGATGAAGTTTCTTCAACACGATATTATCTCTGACATCGACGTCAAACCTGTGAATCGACTATACACGAGATAATATAAGTGCAATAGAAATGAAAGTTTATGAAACGGATTTACTTATTTCGCGGTCGCGTTATGACCCGTCGCAAATTATCAAAAACACTTTCGTCGATTCGAAGTGGTCTAAAATTCGTCATACATGATATTTAATTGATCGGAAAGAGAGAGTTCAGTTAGCGAAAATGACAAAGAACGTTATCGTAGTTCGATCGTAGAGGTGCTGGTATTCCAACACGAAAACTCTTCATGGCCAACTTATTCGTCGATAATCGATAGCGGAGTACCGATTAAAACATTCTGCCTTGTGGCACGATAACGATAGGTAGGTATTTATCGGACTGTAATAGACCATAGGTAGATACTGTCCGACTGATCGAGCTACACGCGTAGCTTCGCGCTTCTACGTGTCATGTTCGCGTACTTTGATCGCCCCTTACGTTCGTCGGTGAATCAATTTTTCGCGCAAGGAAATGTTACTCGACAGGTGATACTCGAACGTTGTGAATAGTTTTTAGAAAGCCGATTCGACGGAAAACTTAATCGACATGGGAAATTCAAAGTCGAAGATCAAGGTTGGTTCGCGGGGGAAAATTCGCGGAAAGACGGGACACAATGGTCGATTCGCGGATGAACATCAAAGGAATCAAGGCGAGGAATACGAAGACACGGAACTACTGTTGTTGAGAAGAGCGATCGACAGAGATCCGGAAAGTTTCGTGCTCAACAATCTAATGATGTGTGTTCAGTTTTTCGGCAATTACGAAGAGTAAGATATCATTTTTTTTTTCCTTCTTTTCTTTACTTTCGAATCGTTCGCATCGTTTACGTCATAATTTGTCACCCATCCCCGTCTTAGTATCACGATCTAAGAGTTTTTATCGCGATTAACGAGACAAGGACTTGTTAGAGAAATCGAGCACGTGAAGGAGACGATGGTCTCGTCCCAGGAGGCAAAACTGAACGAACGTCTGCCACCGCAAAAACACGTTCTACTGCCGGACGTTCTTCAAGAACACATCTCGCGAAACGTCGGCTTTACCTCGAGTAGACAGACTTTTCGACCGATCATCGAACCGCTTCATCCTGTTCGAATTTACACGGTTCACGACAACATCGATATCACGGAGCAGAATTATTCGTCGCACTATAGCAACGTGAACGATTCGACCATGTACAATATACTGTTGAAACCGACTGATCATCAAGGTAAGTTAACGTTCGCGACAAAAGTTTCCTTTAATCGCGCGATTTAACGAAACACGCTTACGCTGTTAGGGTACGTGCAGCTGCAGCTTCTCGACGATTTCGGAATGTCGAAGAGAAAGACGATAAACGAGGACGAGATGGATTTATCCTCGATAGCGGAAAACGACGACGAATTTTACAGCGACGGCGAGAGCATTTACGGTTTGAGATTACGACCGAAAGCGTCCAACTATTCGATGTCCTCCGGAAAATCCCAGCAGGAATTCCACAAAGGTTCCAACTACGGACACGCGAAATCGTTGCCTAATTTGCACGAGGAACAAGTCCCGTCCGACAATCGCAGCGTGAAAGCCGAGACCGATTACGAGAACGATTCCTCGAACGACGAACGAACCTCGAGAAACAAGAGAGCATGGTCGAAGGGAGAATCTAGCAAACGGGCGAATCGACGATCGAACAAACAATCGTCGCAAATCGGAACGAAAGAATCCTCGGTCCAAGAACCAACGACCAGTAGCAACAGTTCCGGTTATCGATCCGACAATTTAGACAGCGACAGCAGTTTCAATCTGAACCGAAACTTCCGATTGTCTCAAACTTTGAACGACGAGGAGCTGGAGGAATTGATCACGAGCGCCAAATTACCGGATCATTGCTTCAAAAAGGTCACGTACTCGGCCGATGGGAAGCTTTACGATCCTAGGGAAGAAAAGAAACAGCTGGTGAACAGTAAACAACGAAGGATCAAGTTGGCTCTCAGACGTCACAATTACGATTTGTTTTACGCGAGCAGCACCGAATTCATGAAACACTTTATCAACGTGTTCGTGAATCGTTTGGGCGAATCTTTTGGCTTCGACAAGGAGTCCCTGGAGGACACGAGACGCGAGGGTTGCGTTCTCTATTGCGACCAAATTATGATTTCGAACGAGTTCAAGTACGGGCGAATAGAGCAATACGAGATCATGCCTTCGATTTGGCTGCAATGGCCCAACTGCGCTCAGGAATGGCTGGACAGACCTCGAAGTACTTGGCCCGACTACGCCGACGTCGAAAAAATCAAAGACTTTGGATGCTACGTGGTGCCGGAGGGCTTCGTACCGAAGAAAGGGAACAGTAATATCATGGCGGATCTCGAATGGCAGCTAACGTTTCCAACGGCCGAACGATATCTCGAAACCTGCATGACTCAGTCTCAGGTACAAGTGTATTTCATCGCGCTGATGCTTCACAAGACTTTTATCAGACCCGTTTTCGACACCATGTTCGGTATGACGGCTGCTCACATTCGACACAAACTGTTCTGGATGATCGAGGAGAACGACAGACCGTCGAAATGGCCCGATACCAGAATGGGCGAGTGTTTGCTGTTCCTCTTGAACTCCTTGTATCATAACATCAGCCAAAACGAACCTACGCTCAAGGATTACTTTATCTCGGACAGGAACCTTTTTCAACGCGTACCCTGCGAACATTTGCTGCACACGCAAAAGCAATTGAAACGTATCATCGAGAATCCGGTGATGTACGTTTTCCACGCGATGGAAAACATTCGTCATAGCGACAACTTTTTCCCCCGATTAGATTACGAGATGTTGTTAAAAATATTGACGGCGGATACGCTGACGTTGGTCAATCCGGCATTAACTCAACGTGTTTCGCGGCCAATGCCGCGACCCAGGAACGAACAAGCCGCGCACGACGACAAATACGCAAAAATGGGATTTTGGGATACCGTCAAGAACCAACCGAAAAAACATTCCGTTCAATCGGTCAACCATAAAATGCTAATTAATCCGCGCAAAGCTACCGACTGCATCATCGAAATCACGGTAAGTATCTCTATGTTTTTCTCTTCTGTTTGTCGAAAAACCGAACGAAACAATTTTATCAGTTTTCACGCGAGATACAGGTTGATAGAAATTGATCGATTCGTATCTCTGCTCGAACGTTCTCTAATCTTATCTACGATACGTGTTATCTATATTCTATGATCCACGATTTGTTAATTATGGATCTATGATACACGATCTGTATATTATCTCCAATAACGATGGGTACGAAACGCGTTTCATTCGCCCGTTATTTTTCAGACACGATGCGAGGAATTGGAAGGGCCGAGGCTATGCGTTCTCCTAGACTTCTTTGTGCGGCACTTCATCAAAATCGCCGAACGTTGTAATCAATACCGTGCCTATCGACAAAAAACCGTTTACCTCGATCACGCCGATCGACTCTCCATCCTGCTGTTCGAGCAGCAAAGATTCAAGGAGGATGCGCGAGCTTACCGCGACAAGATCAAAGTCCTTAGGAAAAAGATGGGTAAATCGGAACCTCGGGACGACGTTCCGGTAACGCCGAAGAGAAACGCGGAAACTGCCGTATACGTTGCGTCGCTGAAGAATCGCTTCGTATCCGAATCGTCGGAGCAAATTTACTCTTCGCCACGGACCAGCGACGTGGAACCACGATCGGACGGAGAGATCGATCACGATCGAAACGTTACCACAGCAGTAGTTCACGAGACGCGTAATCGACATTCGAAAGAACGAATATTAACCCCAATAACCGAAACGATAACCTCGAATTCAGCGACGACGCGTTCGAGTTCGAGCGGCGAAAGCGAATCTCCTCAATCGATTCTGCCGCGCATCAAATTGTCCGAATCACCGAGAGACGAATCAACGTACATTTGAACATTTATCGGAAAAGACGCATAGAGTTTAGTAAACTCGTCGAACCCACCGAAACATTTCGACCATTTCAATCCGTTGTTCTATACTTTCTTTCGTTCGATCATTCGTAAATAAATTGCTCATACCTGAACAAATCATTTGTAATTTATTGTTTTACTTTAGCGTTAATTGCTTTTAAACCTGTTGCAATTTCTATGTAATTATTTAAATATATTTTACGTTTATAAAAGATTATACAGGATTTGTAAAATTCTACTTACCTCCACTCCGTGTTCCGTATAGAAATCCGCTGTTCCCATGCTGGCGTATAATTTGTATCCCATTTTATGGAGGCTTCGAATCGACGGTAACAATTCCATTTTATGCTGAAAAGCGAAAAACGCGAAACGTTACAACGAAATCTTTCGATCACGAATTAACGATATTACCTTGAAACTTCCGATCGAGAGTAAAATTCCCTTCTGCGGTATGTGAAATCCGGTGCTCATCATTCCTTTCAAATAAGCCTCGTATCGATTGTCTCCGAAACAGGCAACTTCCCCGGTGGACACCATTTCTACTCCTAGCATCACGTCGGCACCTACGCGTTCGACAGCAAATTATAGATTAAGATTCTCGACGAACGGTCGTCTAGCGATCGTGTACGTTTTCGAACAGGCTTCTTTTACCGGCAAGGCGCGAGAAGGAAAATTGTGGCACTTTCACGCCGACTTTGCCGCAGCCGGTGAGAACGTCCACGGGCTCGACGGACTCTCCGACGATTAGCCGCGTGGCCATAGCTACGAAATCGTAATCCAACGTCTTCGAGACGAAAGGAAACGATCTGGACACCCTCACGTTACACTCGATGACTTTCAGTTCGTTATCCTATCGAGAAAGAAACGGATCGCTCGAGAAGATGGAAGATCGTTTTAGATTACGCGACGTTCAATTACCTTCGCTATCAGTTGCATGTTGAAGGGACCAGTTACGCCGAGGGAAGCCGCGATCGCTTTCGACATCATCTTTATTTTCGCCAAAGTTTCGGCATTGATGTCCTGCGGTGGAGTAACCAGGGTAGCGTCACCCGAATGTACACCAGCGTTTTCAACATGCTCCGACACCGCCATGCAGAGGATAACGCCATCGTAGGCTACCGCGTCCACGTCTATTTCCTTCGCTTCGAGGATGAACTTGGAAATGACCACTGGATGCTCTTTGTTCACCTCGCTGGCGCTCTTCAAATACGACTCGAGATCGTGATTCGAGTGAGCCACGTTCATCGCGGCACCGCTCAACACGTAAGATGGACGTACCAAACAAGGATAACCAACTTCTTCGCAAAACTCGATAGCAGACTTCAGATTCGTCAATTCCTTCCACCTGCGGGTGTTGATCGTAACGCGATCAAATCGTGCAGTGAACGAAAAAAGAAACGTTATACGAGAGGAGAGAGCCTTACCTGGGTTGGGAAATTCCGATACCGTCCAACATGCGAGAAAACTTGAATCGATTTTCGGCACCGTCCACGGACTCCGGCGAAGTTCCAAGAATCCTAGCTTGCTGCCTGTGAAGATCCATGGCGATGTTGTTCGGTAATTGACCACCCATCGATAGAATTATTCCCTCCGGACATTCGTGATCGTAAATGTCCATCACGATTTCGAACGATATTTCTTCGAAGTACAATCGATCGCTCATGTCGTAATCGGTACTGACCGTTTCTGGGTTGTAATTCACCATGATCGTTTTTTTCCCTAAATTTCGTAACTCGCGTAGACAGCTGACCGCGCACCAATCGAATTCCACAGAGCTGCCGATTCGATACACGCCGGAACCTGTGGAAAGACGGAAGGAAATCGCGATTCCTTTTCGTAAACGAAGCTTCGAGAGAGAAGTAACTCACCTATCACCATCGTGTAACCGCCAGGAAACTCGACGTCGTGCGTAGCCCCGTTGTACGTGATGTAAAGGTAATTGGTCGTGGCTGGCCACTCCGCTGCTACCGTATCTATTTGTTTTACCATTGGTCGTATATTGCTCTCTTGCCTCTGTATCCTAACTGCCAATTCCGAGCTTTTGACCGCCGCTGCAATTTGCTTGTCCGAAAAACCGATCCGTTTCGCGCGCAGTAAAACGTCGTGAGACAGCTTCGTGTGATCGGTATTCTCTAGTACCACGTAATAGTCGATGATATTTTTCATCTTGTGCAAGAACCATCGATCTATCTTTGTCAATTCGTATAATCGATCGATCGTGTATCCGGCCTTGATCGAAGCAGCGAGAACAAACATTCTCTTGTCGGTCGGTTTTTCCAGTTCCTCGTCGTTCGGTGCTTTCACGTAAGGGTCGAATCCGTTGATGTTCTCGTCCACCATTCTCAGAGCTTTCTGAAAGGCTTCTTCGAATTTCCGCCCGATCGCCATCACTTCTCCTACGCTCTTCATGGAGCTACCGATCTGAAACCGATGACCGATTGAGTACCCGATCGAGAATCGATAGCGATCGCGAATCTTACGTACCTTCGTACTGACCCGATGAAATTTCCCCAGATCCCATCTCGGTATCTTGACTACGCAATAATCGAGGCTAGGTTCGAAGCATGCCGTAGTTTTACCGGTAACGCTGTTGCGAATATCCGGCAGACGAATACCCAGCGCTAACTTGGCGGCCACGTAAGCCAACGGATAACCGGTAGCTTTGCTCGCTAGTGCGGAGCTTCGAGATAATCTGGCGTTCACCTCGATGATGTAATACTCCTCGGTGTTTGGGTTTAACGCGTACTGAATGTTGCACTCGCCAATGATGCCGAAATGCCTGATGACGTTGATGGCGGTCGTTCGAAGTATGTTGTACTCCTTATTCGATAACGTCTGGCTCGGAGCAACGACGATCGACTCGCCGGTGTGAATACCGAGAGGATCGACGTTTTCCATGTTACAGACCGTAATGCAGTTGTCGTACGCGTCTCGAACCACCTCGTACTCGACTTCTTTCCAACCCTTCAACGACTTATCAATGATCAATTGGTTAGAGTGAGCAAACGCTTGTTGCGCCAGAGTACGTAACTCGTCCTTGGTATTCGCGAAGAAGGATCCTAAACCTCCGAGGGAAAATGCGGCTCTAGCCATTACGGGATAGCCTAACTTCTCGGCTGCGTCTAATGCCTACGGACCAGAAGAAAGCTATAAAATATTATACATGGAACGAGGATTTACTCGGTACAAATACCTCTTGGATAGAATACACAGCTGCACTCGGCGCTACTTTTTCGTTCAACTGAGCGATACGTTCGGCAAACAATTTTCTGTCCTCGGTTTCTATCACCGATTGTATAGGCGTTCCTAGGATCCTAACGCGGTACTTCTCGAACACGCCGTTCTTCTCGAGTTCAACGCCGCAATTCAGAGCGGTCTGTCCGCCGAACGTTAACAGCACACCGTCAGGACGCTCCGAGCGTATTACCTGAATCGAAAATTTTCTATATATTCGACTCGAGATCGTAAGGAATCGCGCAAAAAACCTACCTCTTCCACGTATTCTGGAATAATCGGTAAAAAGTAAACTTTGTCGGCCATGCCTTTGGACGTTTGCACGGTAGCGATGTTCGGATTGATCAAAAGCGTTTGCACGCATTCTTCTCTCAACGCCTTGATCGCTTGCGATCCAGAATAATCGAATTCGCCCGCTTGGCCGATGCTGAGACCGCCCGAGCCCAAAATTAATACCTTCTTCGGCCGGGTGGCCACGCCGTTCGGCAGATTCGCGTGGAAGCTCAATTTTCGCGTCAATCTCTCCTTCATCGAAATCTCGGCCGTTCCGTTCGTTTCGTCTTTCACAGCGTCCAAGAACACGTCAAACAGGCATTCCAAATCCTGAGGACCGGCAGTGTGCTCGGGATGAAATTGAACGGAAAAATAAGGCAGACTCGAGTGCACGACGCCTTCGTTACTGTCGTCGTTGGTGTTGGTGAACAGCGGCTCCCAATTGGTTGGCAATTGACCCGCGTCGACCGCGAACCCGTGATTTTGCGACGTCATGAAGCAACGACCAGTTCCGTGATGCGTGACCGGTTGATTGTGACCACGGTTTCCGTAACTGTGGATACGAGTAATAGAAAGTTTTGCGGCAACGTCGTTAAACCGACGATACCTACCTCATCTTATATGTTACGCAACCAGCAGCTATGCAGAGCAACTGATGACCCAAACAAATGCCGAAAATCGGCTTCCTCGATCCTTGCTCGAGAACGGATCGAACGTTCGCGATCGTCGCATCGCATTTGCTGGGATCGCCCGGTCCGTTGCTAAGAAACAGACCGTCGTACTCGAGTTCCTTTACGTCGCGATTCCACGGCACGACGTCCACGCGAGCACCACGATTAATCAAGCACCTCAATTGATTGTACTTTAGACCGCAGTCTATCACGCATATGCGGGGATAACCAGTGGGATTGTACGTCCTTTGCGCGCTCTGAAAATTTCACCGGATTAAATTTCAAACGGACAAGACGAATATTACGCTCGGACTCGAATCGAGACAGATTCAATAATCAGCTACCTGAACAACTTCCGCGACGAGATTTCTCTTGTTCGGATCTGTTATCGGTGGATCCAAAGGGATAGAATTCGCGATCGGTTGCTCGAAAACGATTCTACCCAATATAGAACCCTTTTCGCGAATAATTTTCGTCAATGCTCTCGTGTCGATCTCGTATATACCAGGAACATTCTGTTGTTTCATCCATTCGGACAGCGTTCTCGTTCCCCGCCAATGACTCGGTGTTTCGCAGACTTCGCCGACCACCAAACCGGCGGCCCAAATTCGATCCGACTCGAACCAACTGCAAAGAAACGCGTCGTGGCTTCGTAATTTCTAAACATTACTTTTCATGCGAAAGCTTACTGTGGGATCTTATGTTCGTCCAGTTCGTTGCCAAACACGCCATAATTTCCGATTAACGGATACGTGAGCACTAGAATTTGAGCATGGTAGGAAGGATCTGTGAGCGATTCCGGATAACCCACCATACCGGTCTGGAACACTGTGCAAAAAATTTATAAGCGTGAACAATTTGTACACGCGTTGCGGAAACGTGCGCGACGCTCCTTCGACATTTACCTAATTATCGAACGCGAAACAACTTGATCCCGTTCGCGATTTAAACTGAGTTATCGCGTCATCGCGTCGCAACGATTTCATTGGGTATGGATTCGTTTCGATTTGACGCCATCGTAAACGTCAAAATCGGTTCAACGAACATGAACGACCGTTTGTCGGTGGAACGATAATCGACACGGTATCGACGACCGATAACGTCAATTCATTTTAGTCAGACGGAAAAAAGTGTTGGTTTTTTTTTCGCGGAACTCGAGAGTACATGTAACGTTCCGCGATCGACGGTGCGCGGTGAAAAATTTTACGAAAGAACATCGAGTCCACGTGGCTCGTTGGCCGATCGCGCGTGCTCACTAACCGAATGTTCACGCGATTCTCGCCGAACGCATCAAACGTTATCTCGGAAAATGACGACGTCCAAGAAACGACGCAACGATTTATGCTCGAGCGAATTCGTTTGCAAACGAAAGAAACCATTCGCAGGAAACTGCGAACGGATTCGTACACGCGCGCTGAACTAACTACTTTGCGACGGACGAGGAGCACGTGTTCCGCGAACACTCACCTACTTCACCATCGACCGGTTTTTCCGCGCCGAAATGCCTTCCCGGAAAGACAGAGCCATCTTCGAGCACGAGATAAACGTTTCTCGATGTAGCGTCAAGAGCGGCCGTATATTTGTGCATTTTGTCCAAGCGATTAACGGCCTTCTCTCCGCGAACGTGTTCTCGGCCCGGTGTCACCGCTTACACTTACACTGTGTGTCGAGAACACGTTATGCACGACGCAACGATGGTCGATCTTCGGTGCGCGGCTCCCACGAGGTTGCCGGATTCGGCTCGAGCCTGCGCGTAGCATCGTGAACGCGGCT